TCTACTTTCCTCCCCCCTTCCCCCCCCCCCCCTCTCTTAATCCCCTTTTATCTCCCTCTTCCTCCCTCCCATTTCCCCCTCTTCTTCCTTCCTTCCCCCTTTCCCCTCCTTTCTCATTCCCCTTCCCCCCTCTCACACTCGCCTTTTCCCTCCCTACCATTTTTCCCTTTTTCTTCCTCCCTCCCATTTCCCCCTTCTTTTCCTCCCTACCTATCTTTCTGGGTTTGTGGATTGGCGTGTGTATATATGTTGGTATGTGTTGGGGTTAGTCGAACCAGCACCGTTGCACTCCACATCTTTCACACAACCTACTGCACTATCGTGCACACCCATCAGCACCTTCCACACTACTCATGATCATGCAGACGGATCACACCACCTAGGGAACGGGGTCCCACTTCCCCTAGGGAATGAGGCCACACTTCACCTAGGGAGGTAGGGGAGTTTCCAGGTTATCAGCTCTAGGTAAATAAGTGGATGTGATAAGACTTATCTTTGTGATATGCTGCACCCTCTTCTACCTACCACTATTACCACCACTACCACCATTACCAAGCTACCATGATTGTATCCGACTATAACGATCATCATCATTAACAATATCACCATCACTGACAACCTCCATAATGACCATCATTAATTATTTTTAGCATTCACCATCAAAATATGTTAATCGTCATCACAGTGCTAACTATACATTGCTTTATTGTAATACTATTATGTTCACTACAAGCCTTGTTAATGTTCATCATCATTCATAATCAATTTCCTTCATCACTATTATTTTTATTCATATCATTATTCCCCATCATCCAGCATCATCAGCCTTGACTGTCACAATATTATCTGCCATAATGATCATCAGCAGCCACGCTGTTCCCTGTGCACTGGCAGCCACGCCGACCCCCCCCCTCCCCCCCATGCACCGGCAGCCATTTTAATTATATACCAGATACAAAAAGCTAAAGAGGTAGGGTACGGAGACAGACCTCACTTCCCATTCTTAGCAAGAAGTTAGCACACCAGCTACAGCCACCACATACTGTCATATCCCTGACTATCACTCACACCTCTCACCAATACCCATCATGTGACTCGTTTACTAATAATTTCTCCAATGTAAAAACAAGACACTACAAAATTCATCTGCTCAAATTTCCAAAAGGACAAGTTTAACCCAAAGAGAACACTGTGGCCTAACTCAACCACAGAACTCGTCCCAAGATGATGATGATAACCCGTCTCCCATCCTTCGTCCAGAAGAGTGGCATTAAAAGTCCCATTCAACTGCCCTCCATCTAAGAATGGTGACACTGAGTTTGATGCTGAGTAATCCCTAGCTGCTGACAGTATTATAGCTCAATTCATTGCATGTTTACTCAAGTCAACAAAGTACACACTCACCCCCCATCCCTGTAAATGTGGTGTAAGAGCAAATGTACAATACACACTATTGTACACGTGCAGTAATATTCATGACGAACTAATTATAATTAAATTTTTCTCATTTTGAAAAAATAAGGCAATGTATAGCTAGCACTGTGATGATGATTAACATATTTTGATGGTGAATGATTAAAAATAATTAATGATAGCATATACTGTAAATGCATTGTACACTGTATTTCAATTCTATGGGTTATGTTTTCTATCTTGTCTTTATTTTCCAAAAGTTGTAACTTAAGTGGATGAGACAGAACCCTGTAGCCCAGCAAGACCCCAAGGCTTCTCTCAATTGTCCAGAAAAGGGATTTTGCAAGCCACATTCAACTGTATACCTAACGTGTACCTGTCAATGGTTCCAAGGTTCAAAGTTCCCGTGGTCCAGTCTCTTACCAGGCCTCCAGGTTAGTGGTCTGATCACCATGGCTATTCCATGTAGTTGCTTGCAGCCTGACGTACGAGTCACAGCCCAGTTGATCAGGTATCCTTTGATCACTGTCCTCATGTTTATTGCACATACAACCATGCACCCACCATCTACAACCACACCATACACACACAGCCACATCAACAACATGCCACTACCACAACATGCACCCACTCTCGCATGCACCTGTGCTCCCACTACCACAACATGCACCCACTCCCACATGCACCCATGCTCCCACTACTACAACATGCTCCCACGCTCCCACTACTACAACATGCTCCCACGCTCCCACTACTACAACATGCTCCCACATGCAACTATGCTCCCACTACTACAACATGCACCCACTACTACAACATGCACCCACTACCACAACATACTCCCACTCCCAAATGCACCCATGCTCCCACTACCACAACATGCACAATTAACCACAGCTACGACACACATCATAGGATTTGGGAGCAACACAGCATTAGCAACACACATTTGAGAGTTGGTGGCCAAGCGGACAGCACGCTGGACACGTGATCCAGTGGTCTCGGGCACCGGCAAGAAACTATGGGCAGAGTTTCTTTCACTCTATGTCGCTGTTACCTAGCAGTAAATAGGTACCTGGGAGTTAGTCAGCTGTCACAGGCTGCTTCCTGGGGTGTGTGTGTGGTGTGGGGAAAAAAAATTGTAGTTGTAGTAGAAACAGTTGAGAGGCGGGGTGAAAAAGCAGAGCTCAACCCCCGCAAGCACAACCAGGTGAATACTAGGTGAATACATGCCCACATTTCCCTATGACAATCCCACTAAACACAACAGTTAACACAAACAAACCAACTTCCATTATTATTATTTAAATCTGTGATTGTATTTTATAAAACATCTTTAAATTTACACCTAAATATATGAATACAGTATGTAATTTTATATTTATTTTACAACACATTGTTAATTTACAATACATATGCAGATCTCTGAAACATGAGTACAGTACAGGTATGATGTCGAGGAAGTTGGAGTTCTCTGCTCACCAGTACCATATCTTATCTAGTAATTTTCTAAAACCTTATCATCCCTGCTATACTCAGCTTTATATGCACTGCTCCATTTATGCTATGGAATTACATATCAAATGCTTCAACTCCAAAGATATGTAGTAAAACTATGGCCAGCTTTTACTTCACACAAAAGTACATACTCTGACTCGACAGAATTTGTCGAAGGACCAATAAAGTGGTTTAACAATCAAATAACTGGACAGTATATTAATGTCGTAAATGATGCAAGATAAAAAGTTTCTATGTCTTCAGCTATAAAGCAAGTGACTTATTACAGTATATTATTTACACTTAAAGTCATGCCTATGATAAATTTAGAAAATGCACAAGAATTTTGCTTTGTTAATTCTTTATTTCAGTCTATACAGTATATTGTACTCTACTGAATTTGTCCTCAATCTCTATACAGCATATTGAACTGTACTATACTTGTCCACATAATTTATACAGCATTTTGTACTATACTTGTCTGCATAATTTAAACAGTATATTATACTGTACTTTACCTCATAACCTATACAGCATATTGTACTGTACTTGGCCTCATAATCTATATAGCATACTATACTGTACTATACTTAACCTCAATATAATGTTAAGTACATTCTTCATGTTTTTCATAACCGTACTAAAACTAACGTATCAAATTCTCACGCGCTGCTCGAGTAAAACTGAAACGAGTAACAAATAACTGGCCAGCCAGAGGCTTTAGTGCCATACAGATATATCCCTGAAAAAATGTCAGCCAGCGGGCAGGCAGACATGGCACTGTATATTACTTGCATTTGGGTCTTGAAAAACTGCCATCCCCAGGATTGTTATTTTCTGATTATATCTCCAAAGCATAGAAAATGATTATCATCATCTGTAAGCTTTTATTTTACCTTTGCCTAAGACAGCTTAGGGAAGATGTCTTGAAGGCACTAGAAGGCTGCCGACTTATGAAACTGTCACAGCTCTAGATAAGAAGTCGGCAGCCCTAAAGTACTTCAAGACGTCTTTCCAAAACTATCCGAGACAAAGGTCAAAGCAAAGCTTGAGTGGAATAACAGCCATTTTGTATACTTTGGAGGCACTAAAAAACAAAACCACTTACTACCGAAGAATAAAAATTGTGTTACATTGTGTCACTGTATGTAAAGCACAAGCCATGTGTTTTCTCATAGACAGTCAGCAGGAAGACAGTTATAAAAATACAGTACTGTATTATGATAAATAAACACCACCTACCTATTTGCATGTAGAGAAACACCAAGTTCAGATGACACTTTCTGGGCAATATTTTGTACAGGTGCTTTATCATTTCTCAGATATACTGTACAGGGTTAATGCTTTGAAATGACAAAAGGAAAAAGGATGATACTGAGAGGGGGATAAAGTTATCATATGGGGGTGACATCAGGATGGGAATTATTTTGATAAGCAGGTAACATCAGGAGGAGGGGGGGGAGGTTTATTTTGGTGATGGGTGACATCAGGAGAGAAGAGTGATTCTGATGATGAAAGAAACATCAAGGGAAAGGTGACATCAGGGTGGGGTTCAACATCAGGGAATAATTTGACATAAGGGGGATAGTTTGACATAAAGGGGGGTTTGACATCAGAAGGGCTTCGACACAATGGGGTGGGGGGGCTTCAACATAATATGGGGTTCAACATTAGGGAAGGTTGACAGGGTTCAACAACGGGGGGGGGGGGGGGGACAGGGTTCAACAACAGGGGTTAGGGGTTGGACAGGAATGATCATAAAGGAGGTTAAACATCAGAAGAGGGCTTGACTGTTGACCCACCAGCAGAACATAAGCTGGGTTTAGACTATTAAGAGAGGTTAGTTTTGCCCTAAAGTGGTGATGGTAGGGGTGTAGTCAGGGCAGTGATTTGAAGTTGAGGCTGGACTCAAGGTCAGTATAACAACTCTAATATATGTATGCATGAATCACAAGAACTTAAATCAAATGTCCACTTTATAGGCATTGTAAAAATTTAAGGTAAAAAAAAAAAAAATACATACAAGGTGTTCAAGAGTTGTAATACTGTACATCCAATTATCAGCCAGTGAATATTTTGCATGTACTTACCGCCTGTGCCAGCTGACGGTAGTTACAGTTGTGGAGATGGAGAGCATGAGGCGAGGGCGAGGTGACAACCCCATTTTGCGGCTCAACCCAACACTCTGTAACTATCTGCATCTCTCCATCAGCCTCCACACTGTCTCCCTCCTCCCAGTCCTCATCAACAATACTGCAACAACAATGTCAACTCTTGAATTAATGCTGTACAAAGTATTCTATTGGACAAGAAAAACATAAAATTGAGCATAAAACTTTTATAGTTTAGACGCTTACCTATCAGTGACAACAGGAGTGAGATCTAGCTCTTTTACGCCCCGCCTCCAAGCCTGACCTGACGCACTAATTCCCTCTCTCGACATTAATGTTTATCACATTTTTTCTTAAAGTTGTGGATGGATTTGGCTTCAACAACCTCTCCCTTCAATGCATTCCCCTTACCAACCACCCATACAGAAAACAAGAACTTCCTTACAATACAAAAAACAACAAGAGTACAGTATAACTGTTCATCAACAGCATATCACCGTTATTCAAACATTATTATTAAAGTTTTGAATAACATTGGTACTCTGTTGTAACTTCATACACAGTACTGTACTCCTAAATTATGAATGCTTTACATGCTCAGTCATTTATGAAAAAACTAATATAAGAGAAAGAAAAGCAATGTTATGGCTTCCACTAACAGTTTTGTTTCCTAGTCACATTCATATATCAATAGAATTTATACAATTTATAGACTTTACCTAACTCCATTGTTATTTAGCTTTGTTCCCACTTTAGGTGTTCTACATCCATGTGTGGTTATGTTCCATTTGTGGCACTAACCAATGAGTCAAGTACTCAAAACTGCTTTTGAAATATTGCTTTCTCACTTTCAAGATGAAGAGCTAATCAGTGGCAGAAAATTTGCAGGGGAATCTACATGTAGATAACCCTCAAGTCATTAAGGAGAGAGCTTCAAAGACAGAAAATTTGAGTATTTTGATATTAAAATTATTTAATATTCTTCCATTACCAAGAGTTTGATCAAGTTATAACGTAAAGTCCAGCTAATAAACAAATCCTCACACACATTAGAATGTAAAAACATATTATTCAAAGAAAGCTCTACAGTATGTACAATAATGAATATTCATTGTTAATAATTATCCAAAGAATGCACCAAGCCAGAAAACTATAAACTGTAAATCATATTTCTTGCTGTAATGTTTGACAGTTATTATGGTTTACCTGTCTCTGCTGGAGTTAGATATGTGTGGTGGGAAGATGACGTATTGGGCAACACAAGGGAAGGTGGCCAGACCACTCTCACCACACGACTCCAGAACACCTTTACCTTCACTCTCGGTCAGCTCCAACTGTTTCAATAACAGGTTAGTTTGGTTAGCAACATTGCTTACAATAAAAATAAAAACTTAATTTACAAAATTATTAAAACATGGAGGACAACTAAAGTAAAAATTGAAGATAAATTCTTACCTTCATGTCAAATTCTCGGACCATTGTAATGATTCCATTGCAAGAATAAGCAAAGTTGAAGCCTTCTTGAAGTCTTATTCTGTAAAAATATAAGAGTGAGTATATAATCCAGTTTATAAAAATAATTCACAAAGAAATTATGTATCTTTTAAGAAGGAATAAGAATACATAACAATCTACACATCCAGTGAAAATGTTAGTATAGTGGGGCTTCGACTTACAAATTTAATCCGTTCCCAGAGATGGGTCATAAGTTGAAAAAAATTTTCCCCGTAAGAAATAATGTAAATTGAATTAATCTGGTCTACACCCACAAAATAATTAACCTAAAAATACATTTTATACCAAATAACACCCATTTTATACTAGCTAAAATACAGTACAATACCCCCTAAAAAACATTAATATGAAATTATTTTTTTATTTTCCATAGAAAATGGAGCACCCTACCTGACACACACTGAACGAACCTTTTGACATTTTTTATTTTTTATTTTCAATTTTTTTTTTTATTTAATTTTTTATAAAAAAAATCAATACCTTGCAACATTATAGCAGTCACCCCTTTACATCCCAGAACATTGTCAGTAAAAAAGTTAACAACGGCCTGCTACAGCTTGATTTGGGCGACACTATTTAGCAAAATTTTTCAATTCTTCCCATACTGCAAACATTTTCTTAATAAATGAGGAAGGGACATCCTCTATTCTACATCAACAACTCTCATACCATTTTCATGTTTACAAATGATCTCTTGTTTTTCCTCTATGGTCATCCTCGCATGTATTTTCTTAGGTCGAACCTTACCACTGTTTCTTGGGATCCATGGTGTGATATATAATTACTTTTATGTTCAAAAAACAAAAAAGCCCAAAAATAAAGAAATTCTTTACAAGCATGATCGTCACTAAGAGGGCAGCTCTGGTAAACTGAGGCAGAGTCGACCATGCCACCAGGAAACCACGCTGTCGACCCATACGCGTATCAGCAAAGTTGCTAGTCGAGGCAAATGTCGTAAGTTACATTTTCCAATCAAATTTACATCGTAACTCAAAAAATTCATAAGTATGGGCAGTCGTAAGTCAAGGTGCCACAGTAATATTAAACAGCGATAAAGAAATCCAGCTCTGTTTACATACATGATTGGGACGGTACAAAGCCATATTCTCAGTTTCCTAAACACAATTTACTACCACAGTCCACCCCTTACACATTTTAACCTTTAAATACAGTTAATGTTTAAAAGATTGATTTTTAATATATTATTGGGTATATTATTGGGAATAAGAACAAGTGGTAGTGAAAATTTTGTTAATAAAATGAATGTTATTACATAACTGCAGAGATGTGGCAACCTGAGAGCCTGGCTGGGTTCCTCAGAAGTGTGAAAACATCTCCATATCAAAAATCCTTCTAGAAACCCCATGTTAAAAGGGAATGTGAAGCAATCTCATGATATTGAAGCAAACAAGATCCAGATGTGAGAACTAGCCCATGACAACCCCGCTCTTGGTCAGCATAAGTAATGACATGTTGCTAGGGGCGATGATGACATGGTCCAAACGGGAGAAGGCCTTGACTGTGATTTGAGCAACCAAGAGCATGAGGTGATACTCACAAGGTGAAAATATAGATTATATACCTTGAAAGTGTGTTGAGAATCCTTGCAACAGCATTGAGTGATACAGATGGAGCACTGGGAGCCTGTACTGCCCAGATCCAACGTCGATGGTGCAAGTAGCGGGAGAGTAGAGCCATATTGTGAGTAGCAGACTTTGTTGTACCCAGCTTTAGGTAAATTGATTTAGTAGATGAGCTTATGGGTGTTTCCGGAACAATACTCAACAGGTTACTGGGCATCTTGTCATACCTAATAAATAAACAAGGTATAAGTAAACATGAAAAAATTCTTACTGAACATATGCACTGGTTTCTTGTAATGTAAAGCATGTTAATTTACTGTACATGAACAGGCAAGCAGGTCAGCATTCTGTACTGGTGCCACTGAGGACCTTTCTAACATTCCTGTGTTAAGAGTTAAGAAGACTGAAGAATATTCAATCTAGCCTGTAATGGATTAGATGGTCCATTCACACACTTTAAATATTTTGAAGCCCTCTTTGGCATAAGTGATGAGGCTTTGTTCTCAATAATGTCAGGTCTAGTGTCAGTCACGGGCTTTAAAACTCTTCACTCTTACCTGAACCCCTGTCTCTTTATATTTCACTTGCCTGGGTCTGATGTGTCAATAGCACAAACCCTCCTTAACTTCATCCAACAAAATAAACAAAACAATTTTGAAATAAGACTTGTTTAACAATACAATATTTTCAAAATACTTATAAAAGAATGAGTGACTACATACCATATAAGAATCTTCTCAACAGGTTTGTGGGTGATGACACAGCAGGGAATGTTAGAAGCTACTCGAGCGAGAACAGGTCGCACTCCTGTCGGTCTCAGGTCACTCGATGCCGATATGGACATATCCTCTCCCATCTTGTCCTTGTCATTCAAATATTTAATAATTTTAAAAAGTTATTACGAAGTAGATATGCTAATAACTTCCATCTATTATGATTCACAAAATGGTGCCTTAAATATCTAAGTACACCACATTAAACATTGCAAAAATTTTATATCTTTGTTATCACTAACTTTGTTACTGTATCACTAGTTATAATCATTATAATTAACCTTAACTCTTACTTTCATGGAGTGTACACACTTGCCAAAACAAGATGGAATACAATATTGTACATATATTTCATGCCTAATAATTAGAGTTGCTTTACAAGCCGAAGTTTGTACAAAAAATTACTATTGGACTTAATATTGGATAAGATTTAATAACCAAAATAATGTTTTTATATGCACCAAAACTTAAAAACTAAATTAAATATGGTGATTATTCTTCAATGCTGCCAAACATAGGTAAAATTAGACCTAAGACTGGATTAGACTGAGCTTATCAACAGTGACCTCCAGGCATCTTTAAAGGCACTGGTGCCCACATCACTTGCCTCTCTCATAATCCTGCTACAGATACAGTAAATCTTATCATAGGAGAAAAATTTAATGCAATAGCACAAACTAATTTTGAAAACTCCTCAAATGTTTTTGTCTGATCAACGTATTTTGTTTTATTTATACAAGGTACAATGGGTTGAATCAGTACAGATTTTGGTGATTATTAATAGTTAAAATTTGTTCTTTACCTGTGTCTGGTGTATTGCTGGAGGTAGAGATTTGCTGCGTTCCGTAAGACCCATGCGTGATGGGAAAGTAAGTCCTTGAATCTTCTCCCGGATGTGACTCACCAACTGCAAACAAATTTCCTTCAATAATAACGGCTATATATTTAACCCCTAAACAGCACAGTTAAATAAAAGTACAGCGCTACATCAAGACACACATCTAAAAATAGCTTAATCAAATAGAGGGAAAAATCTCATATGGCAGTTAAAACAATGAAATGGTTAGCTTCCCTTGGATCAGGTTATTTACATCTTATTTATTACAATAAGAATCAGGTTTAGCATAAAAACTGAACAGCATACACACACAAATGAAAGGTTTGAAAATTTGACAATTTCACTGCAATAGACGTATGATTAAGTATCCAACTCATGACATAGATTACTGTTAATTGTAAACCAATACTCTTCAGAATGGTTGTTGCTAAACAAAAAAATTCTAAATTATATTGGTTAGCATTTTACCTTTCATACATCTTATGTCAAAAGAAACTCACTCACTTGGTTTCTAATATGTCCAGGAGTTCCTCCAAGGAATGCCAGACGAATAACAAGACATGGCGGAGGCTTGGAAGTAATACGAACCACAAAGAAAGAAACGGGTGTCTTTTCTTTATCACCTTCCCTGGAAAATTTTGTAACAAAACCACAATTATTTCTGAATTTATTCTGTTCCATTTTTATAATTTATTATTCGCATACTGCTCAATATAAATAAGAACTGAATATTTTGTGTCAAACTTTACATATAATATTTACAGTTAAAATAAACATAAGGTAAATCAAAAAATTAAAAATGACCCTAGTACTTAGTAGGTTATTGGAGTTTATGAATGCCCAATGTTGTCAAAGTCTGACCAGTAATGGCCAGAGTGTAAGGTAGAGAATGTACCAAGTTGCTAGCCCAAAAGAAAAATACAGGATGCATAAATAAATCAGAAAACCTTGGAGTGTCCACAATTTTTAAACCCATTGCTTTAAACTCAGCACACAAAATTGTTTGGAGGATTTAAGCCATCATGTTTTTAAAACCTTAATCTTGCTACTGTGTGTTTCACTGAACACTTTCATGGAATTGAGAAGCAAAAACTTAAAATATTGAAAATAAGATGCATAAGTTAAAGATCATTTCATTACACCTATATTGTATCCCTGAATCATGTGCCAGTCACAAGATCCAGGTCTGTGTATCAGATAAAGCTATCAGAGGTCTAAGTAGCAAACAGAAGTCAAAGGTCATAGCTATTATGAATACAGTATATTATATTTATAATGTTGACCTCCAGCTTTTTATTTATCACTTTCCCCAACATTTATATGCAGATTCTTAATCATTACACAAATAGCTTACCGATAAAAAAATTTGACGTAGGAGTCATTCTCTATAAGTATAAAGTCGCACCATTCTGCCAGCAGTGCTGTGAGAGCCGACTCGGCCTGCCGACAATGTACAATTCCATACCTGCAATTAACAACATTGTTACTGAGGTTAAGATCTACATCATATGGGAAAAGAATACACAATAAATTTACTTTCAACTATTAGCAAATGTACACTATATTATACTACATAATGATTGTTTATGACAGTAGTGTAACTCAAGTTGTCAATGGGATAAGTTAACCTAACACACACATCAATTACTGCAAATATAAAAAAAAAAAAAAGACTTCCATTTTGCTGGGTTGGGCAAACCTGAGACACTGCTGATAAATGGTACAATGGACAATATGGAGGATAGGGCCTCGGCAAAACTACTGCACTCCATAAAACCAAACTGAGAAACTGTTGTCCAAGAGGATGCAGTACCTCGTACTGCACACAAAGCCGTTGAAGATTCAGGTGAGAAACTCTGAATGTTATTCAACACAATGATCCAACCTTATTATAGAAAGATTGGGAACCCACACACAAAACAGTAGTCTAATCACCAATGAATGGACCAAGGTACTCAGACAGCTGAAGGGAGTCAGTGAGAAACTCAACATAAGTGGATGAAAACAAACTTTCCCAATTTAGGCTAGACCGCCTCCAGCTTAGGGCTTTACCTTTAAGCTGGATCAAACCGAACCAAGGCCCTAACTCAAGACACCCCCATATGATTGAACCCCCCCACTTCTGTTACACAACACAGGAAACAAGCCCATACATCAGCCCTGAACCTCAAGCCTAAGGAAGATGGGAAAAAAGTGGGTCACCCAAGGAGGCCTGTCATCATTTTGCTTTATTAAAAGATTGTTAACACTGCTTTTCTTATATAAGTTAACCAAAAACATTTGCTATTTATGAAAGCTGTATGAGCCCTGCAAGAATGGGATTTTTTCTAATCAGTTTATTTGGGTACCAGAGACCCCCCTTGCTGACTGAGAATATAGTACTGAATAACTTATAATCAGCAAACGATTATTTCCATACCTAGTTGTGTTAAAGTGGCTAGCAGCATGCTGTGATAGAGCCTGCTAATGTGGCATAACACGACCAGGACCACACAGTGCAGTCTAGAAGTAAAGTTCTTAAAACATGAATGTGTAATATATTACAAGCCTTCCACTTGTAATATAACACACAATACTAACCTTCCACTTGTATTGGTTATATGCAGGTTCTTGGGGAGAGGATGGTCATGCTCCAAGAGTATTCCAATGCGATGGGTGTGCATCCACTTCTGCCAGATGTTGGTGTCCAACATACACACCGGCTTCCAGAAGGTAGTAAACTGAGGGAACTGGTCACTGTAGAGCAGAAAGGATTAAATTCGTTAATAATTACAGAAATTCAAATTGATACCAAACCCTCGAATCTGAAAATAAAGGAATTGACAATGTTTCGGTCCATTCTGTATCAACTCTTAATATAATGGTCCAAGACAGTCCATTAATTTAGTCCAAGACTAAACATTAATTTTTATTTTCAGATTTATGAGTTGGGTGTCTAATTTTCAGTCATGTTATTGAGTTATTGTCTGCTTAGGGCCTCTTTCTGGACAAAAACATCAAATGATGAAAAAGACATTACATCCACAACACACTTCACTACAGCTTCCATCAACATTAGCTATGCCACAAAAACATATTTGCCAGTCCTAAGCCTGCATTCAAATGTTAAATCCAGCTACAGCTTGGGCAAACAAATCAACATATATTTCCTTTATTGTGAACAGTATGAACTCAACAAAAATATGTTTGGATGAGACAGGATTTCATTATGCTGTACTGCATATAGGTTCATTCAAGCAAAGTCCCACTGTAAGACAGCAGAAATTACCAAATACGGATGCATAGTTAAAAACAAAATTTAAGGAAAGAATGGAGTGGTATTTCTGAGGGTCTATTCAGCTTATGATTTCAGTCTAGTTTGACAACAGGTTTTTGAGGTCTGGCTCAAAAAACATCTGGAGGGGCCCTGAACTCTGAAACCTATATATATAAAAAAAGGAGAGATTCTTACCTGGTAGCATCAGAGATGGAGTTGATATGTCCAGAATTTCGATAGAACACAGGATGGCCTCTTTTGATACAATCAGGAATGGTAAAGTATAAGGGGTTAGTTGCAAAGGACTGCAGACCAACCAATAGCATATCAGTATCACGTAGATGCTGAAGAGTACTCCAGTACTTGGCTACCATGCTTTGTCGATATTTAGAGCGAAACTGACGGTGCACATCACTTGTCACATCATTGAGAAATTCGTATGTTGCTGAAAATTATAAAAGGAGCATGAAAGATTTTTCAAATATATATCATCCTGACCCCAAGAATGCTTCTTCAGTGTACATTATGTATGAAGCATATACACAGTTTAATTCTGAATTCTGATAAGGATTAAAATAAACATGGCAATTAGAAAGTCAATTGTAGCCTTAATAATCCTGGTATTGACAGGTTTAAAACCTTAAGACAAAACACTCGGTTAACAATAACTGGGAACTTCTCATGTATGAAGCACTTTAAGATTGCAAAGGTGAAAATGTTACCATGTGAATGTTACCAAGGTGAAAATTTTCACCTCGGTGAAAGCTGAGGTGATGAAAATGTGCTGAACACCTGAACCAAGGCAGAAAGTTACATTAGATGCTAACAGATATATATAAATAATATACAATTGAATAATAGGACAGGATAAAATAGATGAAATTGTAATCACTGGAGATACATTGAGTGACAGGGACATTCTCTTCTGAAAAAGTGAATAGAAAGAGGACATAGGTCAGAATTGGAAATAGAAGCAAGCAATAAAAATGTAGATTCTCCTCCATCATACAAGCAGTGAAAAAGTGGAACAAGCTAGAGGCAGTAGAGACAAACTTAGTCCAAAGCTTTAAGGATGAGTCAGAAACATAAAAATTAGCAGTAGTAGCAACAGACTCTCAAGAGCAAAGAGAAGATTATATTTTGGAATTTAGACAAGTCTAGTGCTACAATCTAAAGGTTATTCAGCATCCCAAAAGCAACAAAGTGGACACAAGAGTAGAAACTTGCTATACATTAACGTAGAGAGAGATATATGCACTTGTAACCCATTAAGCTAAAGCATTCATCAACTTACCCTCAATCCAGACTTCAGTGTTGACAAATGACTGTGTTGGAGGCCAAACAGATCTGATGTGATATTCAATAAAAATTGAATATTTCCATGGTAAAACAAGTACCAGCTGAAATGTTTAAATATGTTAGCTTTTGGGAAAGCATTACTGAAAAAATAAAATGTAAAGAATTTGTCAATAATGAAAGTTCCCCTTACAGTACTTGAGTTTTACTGTAAATGAGCAAGTATGAAAACTATATTCTCAGTTAAGAACAGTGAATTCAGGTGCTTTAAATTCCCGTATTTTTGGTGGTGCACGAATCGGAAATGTGTCTGAAAACAATCTTAGTGCTGGTTGTAGATTCTGAACATTTGTTTCTACATAAATTAAAAGTTTACAGGACCAACTTATATTTAAGGACCCATCTCTGTCTTTATTAAATCAAAATATTAAATTATAGCCAAGTCTTGTTTTTCAGTACAAGAGAGCCTAGATATTTAGCTACACTTTAAGCTTCATTTGTATGAAACTGGCTGACTAAGAATGTCATTTAATTTTGACCATCTCACAACAGCTCAAGATATTGGCAACATGTCAGCTCTTTCATTAGAGTATAGTATAGTGATGCAGTTACAAACGTACTGTTAAGTTAACACCTATCAAGTGCCTGTAAGCTAACCTGTATCTGGTCATCAGCAATGGTAACTTGCTTGATAGCATAACCTTCTCTAAGCCTGCATGACAAGACAGCATTAAGAGCTGTATTTAGCTGATTCTCTCTTTCTTTCTTTCTCATTAGTTCTGTAGCTTCTTGGGCTACTGGAAGAAGGCTGTAAAATCTGAAATACAGAAAATATAAACAATAATTATATTTAACAAAAATCATAAAATAAATACTTATTTTTCAAGTTAACTATGTAAGTGCTTGTCTGTTAATAAAGAGGTTAAGGACATTGGAGATTTATGTATGCCATAAATCTTACTTTGAAAAATTTATAGAGATTTATGTAATTCAAACTTACCCATTCATTCCATCATGGTCATTATCATTATCTGGGCAAAGGCCATACATAAATTTCTGGAAGCCCCAAGACAACAGAGATTTGTGATAGTTGTTCATGTCATAATCATAGTCATCACCCTGAAATAAAAATCTGAATAAGTATACATAAACATCTTCCTGAGCACGAGTCATTAGATTGCCTCCTAGTATAAGACAGTGTCCTCTGGACAAGGACAGACTGTTCAGCATGTAGGATTCTTGGCAACGGTACTGCAGTAGACTTTACAGTTGCTGTGGGGACATACAAGATGCTAGGGGTGGTCACTTAAGATACTCTATCTAGTGAAGAATGATAACAGAAGGTTCACTCAATGTAAACTAAAAGCTTTATAAGAATTCTCCAGCGATAAAATAAGATTGCCAAATTACGCCTCTACCTTAGTACCCACTGTCTGCCTAGACTCCTTGTACATTACCCCTCCAGCTACATCTTGGATAGTCTACACTATTATGTTCTCAAACTATGGATCTGGAAATAAAAGGTCTGATCTTTCCTATCAATACAGTACACGTTAACTATTGTTTACCTCAAATAGCCCACATTCATTATTTTACTATAATTCTCTTTAATTTTTTCAACCTGTCACTTAACTTCTTAACCCTTTGCTTCCACTTCAAAAATAATCTTAAAAATCATTAAAGAACATTAGCAAGGACTACAGTTCACATTTTACCAACATATAATAAAACACTCCAAAAAAAATAATGTATTTATATAAATAAATGCTTCATGTTTTATTGCACAATATAGTAATATGAAATATATACTGTACTTACAATAGGTGGCAAAGTAGGTAGATAGGCCCCACACGTTGCCGTAGCTAAAAAACTCATGAGGTCTGAGAATGGAACATAGCCTAACGAGGCCTGAGGATGATACACAGATCCAAGCTGAAGAAAACTGCAAGCTATTGTCTGATTCCTGAGCTGCACTAATAATGAGTCGAACACCGTAGCATCAGGAAGGCTTATTACGCCATCTGTGATCACTACAATACCTGCAATAATGGTAGACATTACACCATCTGTGATCACCACAATACCTGCAATAATGGTAGACATTACACCATCTGTGATCACCACAATACCTGCAATAATGGTAGCCATTACACCATCTGTGATCACCACAATACCTGCAATAATGGTAGCCATTACACCATCTGTGATCACCACAATACCTGCAATAATGGTAGACATTACACCATCTGTGATCACTACAATACCTGCAATAATGGTAGCCATTACACCATCTGTGATCACCACAATACCTGCAATAATGGTAGACATTACACCATCTGTGATCACTACAATACCTGCAATATTGTAATATCTTGCTACCTTCACAAATGATCTTAATGCACTATTGGTATTATTACATGAATGTACACAATCTTTAAGAGAACCAGCTGGTGTCAGTTGTCCATGAATGTTATAGGAAGAGTAAAAGGGGATATCTCTGTCTTTACTACCGATTAGTAAATAGTTACAATCACTACACCACTACCATGGTTACAATCACTACACTACTATCATGGTTACAGTCACCGTACACCACTAACATGGCTAAAGTCACCCTACACCAATACCATGGCTACAGTCCAACTCATACCCTTAAATAGTACAGTAAAGTTCATCACATTTTGATGAATAAATTCCCTAAGGCCAAAAACTGATGTACTACAAAACTCAGCAGCTCGCAAAATTTACGCGATATCCCATTTTTTATCCATGGGTCCTCAGTTAAGATCTGGCAATGTAGTACATCAGTTTAATGACATTGTGAATGCTCGAGAAGGTGGACTGTACTGTACAGTCACGCTACACCACTGATTAGTCATCCTACAAATACAAACTACCCAAGATGTATTAAACAGATGAATTTGAACGACACTAGGATTACAAAACAATTACCTGCACTGCTGTTCTCTGGTAGCAACTGAAGAGCTACAATACCATATCTCAACATATCAACAAAGCCAATATCTGGTGAAACCATCGGATTTGTTAATGTAGTCGGTCCTAAGAAAATGGCCTCCTCCGTCATTCTCTCTTGCACTAGATCACATTTTTCACGAGTAATGTCCATTTGACCATACGTCTGAGCAGTAGCCTGTTGAGTAGCATCAACCTTTTATATCATTCAGAATTACTTTATTAGAATTACACGTCATATTTTTCATAGTCCATGAAAGAATGATTGTAGTAACTCAAGGACTGAAGGCAAAGTCTTTGTACCAATCATTTTAACCAGCTTAACACTTTCGTCCGGCTGCGACACAGTTTGAGTTAATTAATAATCTTACAGATGTCCGCTGGGGACACATTTTGCGTCCGAAATTAAAATATTTGTTAAAATTCCATTTATTGTTCGATTACTATGGGACTAGTTTTAAAATGCGCAGCTTTAGATTGCGAACAATTTGATATCATAATGAACAACGTAGCCTGACAATTGAGGTCAGACCACTGGAAAGATTATAAATACTTGTTAAAATTCCATTTATTGTTTGATTATTATGGGACTAATTTTAAAATGCACGCTTTGTATGTTGAAGTGATGCAGGTGTGCCAATTGGTGCTCGCTCACTGGTAACGCTTGGCCGACTTTCGGCTTTGCTGAGGGGGGGGTTAATATACTCCTGTAGGGAATTTTTTTGCAAACACATTGGTACCAAAAGGAATGACGTAGCATGAGAATTGAGGTGAGAAAACTGAAAGGGTACACACATTTTACTGCTCTTGCATGCTTACGGGTAACGCTCTGCCGATTTATGGGTTTGGTGTGGGTTGCAGGACGGGCTTTTGGACCTTGTATGCATATATCCCTGTAGGGAATTCTATTGTGAACACTAATACCAAAATGAATGATGTAACACAAAAATTGAGATGAAAAAAATGAAAAGAGAACACACATTTTAGTCTGGTTGCACGCAGACGAGAAACGCCCGCAGCACACTGAGGTAGGCTGGGGCATGCACGCCGGAGATGCGAAAGTGTTAATGTTTTGAATAAAAGTTTTCTGAATGTATCAAATCAAATTGTATATCTATTCAGAACTTCAAAAGTATTCAAACTGTTATGTAACTTTTAAACTAACTCAAAACATTAACTTGTAATAAAGAATATTTTTTATTTGGATACATTAGATAAAAACATGACAAAATCTTTATACAAAAATTAAGCAGTAAGGCTTGTAACAATGGTAGCTGCTACTGCTCAGTTCATAAAAAAAGTTATCCATTAAGTACTGTACACACATTCTGTTTATTACATGTACCTTGCTACTCTGCTAATCTTCAATGCATTACAGCATTACTTTAACAATATTACAAGCAAGTTAGAAACAGTGCCAGCATTTTTACCTCTGCCAGCTGAGCCTCAAGTTTGGTAAGTTTAATGTGTATACTGTCAAGAAATTCATCTAAGTTGTGAACCATGAGGAGCCATCCCTGGACCAAGACTTGCTGAGACTGGGACTTGAAGAATGGTGTGTGAGCAATAATTGTCAGGTACACTTCAGGTTGGAACAGCAGCTGACTCCCTAGAACAACACACATCATTAATATTGTTGAATGTTACTTATATTTCAAACCATAAACACTTACTTTATATTCAAATAGTTGTCAACAAAAACCAAACAGCACTGAAAATTATAATTTATTAAATGTGCCATTACTGTGCACCTATTGCTTCAAGATACATCAGAATTTTTTTTTTAACGAACCATATCTACAGGACAAGAAAGTTATTCACTTGCAGTGTGGTGATTGTAATTATATGAGCAAATTCAGTCATGGTGCAGTATTAACAACCACATGCCAATTGAAATGAGAAGAATTATCTTCCTAATTTGGCAGGATATTTGTGGTACAAGTGCAAACCAGTGGAACCATATATACAGTACTCTTGAAACAGAACTTTGGATTGATAGAGCATTGCAATGATTACTGCCCATCATTCCTCCAGATGTAACCAAATTTAAAGTCATTAAGAAAAAGAAAAACAGTAAAATTACTAAACTTTTAATGAAAACATTACAGTGATTAACCATCTAAAGATCTGTAGCTCCTCTTTCTGATCCAATCTTTCAATGTTTCCCATAGCTTTGGCCTAAGCTCACCTAGAACAGTTCACACACCAGGCCCTCAGAGGTAGTCCTGTCATATAGTGCAGGATGAGCTGCAGAGAGCAAGGAGCTCAATCTTGCCATCCAGGAATACTGCTTTGTACTATAGTAGCATACTGCTAATTCCTCTTATTTAAAAAACATATAACTGGTTACAACATTGATTAAACTAAAGCAATACCGCATTGACAATTTGTCACCAGTTATTTTGAGATACAGTAACTTGCCATTTTGACAAAAAAGGGCAATAAGAAAAATATGTAGTAAAACATGTACATGCATTACTTATCCTCGAATGCATAAAATACAATTTAACTAACCTGGTACATAAAAAGGTCTAACAATGCCTTTTAAACATTGTCTTAAAGTAGCAAAAACTTCATCTAATACAACGCTGCCCTTTGTGACATCCACAACTGAAGTAGATGGAGACAAATCTAAGCAGAACACTAGTCGATATTTCCGAGAGAGGAAATGAAGTGTCGTGCCCTGAGTGATGCGATACTTATACAGGTGTGATGTGTCATAATCCCACTCCTGAGGAATGTCCACAGGAATAACAGACACAACCTCCAGTTCCTCTTCATTCTCTCTCTGAATAGGGAAAAAGAAAAAATTAAAATCCAAATTTTTAAACACAGTATTTGCTTTATCAGCATTCACAAGCTGGCATGTGTGTTTGTGTACTGGGATAGGTGTGCAGTACTGTAGTTTCCCTAATGTTGTTAAGGGATGAGCACTAAACACATTTACCTGAGGGCAACAATCTCTCTCTCTAGTGACCACAGGAAGCCAGCGGCTTATCAAAGGTTCTCCCCATTTGCCTTGATTTTATCAAGCTGGATTTTGAAATTCAGCCGTGTTTTGACATTTATGGCTATGGCGGGTAGGCAGTTCCCCGGGTTTATAACCCTATGGGTGAAAACGCATCTCCTGTTTTCAGTACTGTACTACATTTTAGCTTGATGAGCTTGAAGACTTGTGTTACATCTGACTTTTTAAAAGAAGTTGTCTGCATCAACATCCTCCAAATTATTCAGTCTTTTAAAAGTTTTGATGAGATCAGCCCTATCATGTCTGGTTTGCAGTGTTGGCCCTGAAGACCTCATCTATTCCTGGTATGAGTTCAGTTCTGGAATGCCTTTCTGAAGATGAGGTCTCCATACTTGGATACAATAATCTCAGTGGGGTGCACTGGATATTTATGCAGTTGAATAACGATCTTTTCCTTGAAGTCAAAGGTTCCCGACTATTCCTAGGGTTTGGTTATTTTTTTTTTTTTTTTTTTACTTTACTTACTCCGACTTCTTGTCCAACTTTCAATGAATGGTAAATTCTGACCAAGGTATTTTTCTTAATCAATTTGTCACACGGTAATAATGTTAATTCGGTACTTGTGATGTGCATTGTTTTGCCTCACATGAAAGGTTTGGCAGTTTTTAAATTAAAAAACATTTCCCCGTCTTTTGACCATTTGTGGATCTGTAGAACTCTTTGCAAAGCCTCAATATCATTTTCACTTCCCATCTCGTAATATTCTCAATCTATGCCATTGATGTACAGTACAGTACTTGTGCACATGTATGTAATATGTTCTTACCTAATTATATTTATAAAATATACACATCATTACAGCATTATTATTATTACTATTACTGTTTTATCATCACATTATTATTATCATTATTATACCAATTTAAAACTTGCCTTTCGAGCCACATGTTATACTCTACAGTACATACAGTACTGTATGTGCTTGTGAAAAAGTTCCAAAAGACCTGCCATGCAAAAATAAACAAATTCACAAATTTCAGGAAATAAATTTTGAATTGAATATTTCACAGAATGAAACAAACACTTACAAGTTTTTCTCTTTTTGGAAAAGATATGATGGAATTTATCCGGCGAAGGTACCATTCTGCACGAACATTACGAGAAATGCGATATTCCTTTTTCATGAGAATGTACACATGTTCAGCTTCAAGAGCCTCCACACCCTGAAATGTGATAAAATGAGAAAAGGGAAAAAAAAGGTATCCTGCCAACAAATAGCATGATATTGCTTACTACAAAGAACATTTCAACATCAATAAGAAATAGTCTCCATAGTACCAGTTCTCTTAAATGCCTGTAAACAATGAACAGTTACAAAGTCCCCAGTTAAGACTAACAAGTGAATCAAAATACATACACACCATTGGTTGAAGTGTATCCCATTTATCCACACACTGGAGAATACCAGAAAACAAAACAATTAAAACACAGTATAATATGGATAATATTTAAAACAATTACTGCATTTATTAACAAATGTCTGAAATCAGAGAATAAAGAGGGAACACCTGTGCCTTCGTTAATGTGAATACAAATTTTTAAAAGCATTTGTTTTATGTTAAATGCATTTATATTTACTTTAATGTGTCCATTAAAGAATATTAATTGACAAACAGTATACATTATTTGATCCATCCCACTAATAAATTTTATTATTATCTACCCAAAATAAACAAAAACTTAACAAAGCTTCCGAACACCGTAAACTTCCTCCAACACATGGGGTCCAGTCCCACAATCCCCCGCAGAGAAACTCTGCTGTACTGTACTATCATAGTTTGTCGAGAGTACTACTGAATGTACACAATCTTGATTACATTTTATAATAAAACCAATTACTTTTCACAGCATAATTACAACTTGGGAAGCAATGGCAGTAATGCTCCCAGATGAACCTAAAACAAAGTTTAAAAATGAGTATATCCTTGGATCCACTTCTCATGGTTCGACACCAGTTCCAAGCAATATGAATAGCTGCTCCCTTCTGACCAAATTTATGCACAATATAGGCATACATAGGCCTTGCCTATAATACTCACTAGTTTCTATATAACTCTCACATGGTTTGTGAGTTGTGTTACAAAGAGTTGCAAAATGTAGTTTTTTGTAGTTCTACATCATCCCCCAGGTGAACCACAAGCCAGATAAAGTGGCTTCATATCAAAGACAGTTTACAACAGACTTCTCAAACTCTCTACAAATCATATCAGACTCTGTACAAATGCTCTACAAATCAAGGGACCCAGAATGTGGAATGACCTTCCCAATCATGTCAAAGATTGTACCTCTCTTAACCACTTTAAGATGAAAACTAAGTACTACCTAATTACGCAGGCGATGAGTCACAATAACGTGGCTAAAGTATGTTGACCAGACCACACATTAGAAGGTGAAGGGATGACGACGTTTCGGTCCGTCCTGGACCATTCTCAAGTCGATTCTACTTAATTAACTTCATGTAACCTACCTTACTTCTAAATGTCAACCCATATCTTGCTATTTAAAAAATAAAAATGCTGTTTGTTGACCAACTTGTATATTGGCTATTTTCTACCATGTTCCCCCTTTTTGTATCTTTTATTATTTTTTTTTTCTTTCAACGCAATTTATACTTCAAGCTCAATTACTATTAAGTTTTAGTCTAAATGTTTTTTCCCCACCTCACCTTGCCCGAAACGCTATGCGTATTAGTGGCTTTAGGTATTGCATGTACTACCTCTATCTTTAAATCAAACTATGTTCGTATTGTAACTCTGCAACTATGTACAGTATGTACTTTCCCTAAATTATTATTATATTATTATTATTACAGTACTTTGAAACCAACCTAACCTTACTCAACTTTTCCCTACCTAACTTAACAGCTTAACCTAACATATTGTATATGGTTTTGATAATTAAAAAAAAACTGTATACAATTCGACCGTACCTACCGACAGCTCAATGTTCACCCAGTTTTGAGGTTTAACCAAGACTCGTCTGGTGTGTCCCCACCTGGATTATTGTATCCAAACATGAGAGACATCTCCAGAAACACATCTACTTTAGAGGCCACAAAAATCCTTCCAACACTAAGTCGACTCATGCCAGGCATGGATGAGGGCCCCGGGCTAAACAACACTGTATACTAGAAGTGACAAGACTGATCTAACAAAACTTTTAAAACGATGAACGATTTGGAGGATACTGATCCTTATGACTTCTTTAAAAAGTTCAGATGTAAGCCAAACGAGGAACAACAGTTTCAAGCTCCACAAGCCACAATGCAGGACAGAAAACATGCTTTTTTTCACTCATGGGGTTATAAGCCCATGGAACCACCTACCCACTGAAGCAGTAAGTGCCAAAACACAGCTGCAATTTAAGATATAACAATAAAATTATCAGGACAAATGTGATACCTTTGACAAGCCACTGGCTTCCTGTAATCATGGAGGCCACTAGAAAGATAGTGACCCTCGGGTAAATTGAGGTAAAGTTTTAAAATGTGTATGCAAATCACAAAATATAAGTGACTGCGTACATAGGGCTGTTTACCCACAACTATAAAAGATACCTTACCTAACCTAAAGATATATACTGTACTGTCTTGTACTTGATTACAAGCTGACCAATGTTGAGCCCACCTGCGTGTGGGGCACCAGTCTCCACTCTCCCCCTCAACTTTCCATATTAATTTATTAAGCTTTCTTGCTATCAAAAACACATTAACAAAAGTTCTTTAATCATATATGCGAGTCTGGCCTCTTATTTCAGTACTTGATAAGACACATAAGAAATCAGTGACAATTAAGTTGGTAGGGAAGTTTAGTAGTATGAGGGAGGCGTGTTGGTGTGGTGACTCTCGCGGTACACGCCATGGGACAGCTAGCCTGGGGAGATACCTCCACCAGCCAAATACTTGCCTCCTCCTCCTCCTCGCCTGCTGCACCATATTCCTTTACCGCGGTCATCTTGAGAGGCGCCCCATGTGACCCTCCCCTCGTGGCGTCTTGGGCTCTACTGAGCTCCCTCAGCTGCCTGGCCTCACCTCCTCACACACACACGCACACACTCATGTACACACTCCCTCACCTCTCACAAGTACGCACTCATGTATATACTCCCTCACACACATTCCCTACGAGTGAATGTGTTCATATTCTCACTCTCACTCGTAATGAGGCTACAAGATGACCTAGGCAAGCTGAGTGAATGGTCCAACAAATGGCTACTAAAGTTCAACCCGAGTAAATGTAAGGTAATGAAACTAGGCTGTGGAAACAGGAGGCCAGACACGGGATACTGAATGAGAGATGGAGTCCTTCATGAAACTGACAGAGAGAACTAAAGATCTAGAAGTTGATATCACACCAAACCTGTCTCCTGAAGCCCACATAAAAAGAATAACATCTGCGGCGTATGCAAGGCTGGCTAACATAAGAACTGCCTTCAGGAACCTGTGTAAGGAATCACACACAGAGATCACACTAACGTGATGCATCAAATGAACAAATCCACAAGGGACGCAGGTTCGAATCCTCGTCACGGCCCTTGTGGATTTGTTCATCTGTGTAAGGAATCATTCAGAACCTTGCATACCACATATGTAAGACCAGTCCTGGAGTATGCGGTCCAAGCATGGAACCCATACCTTGTCAAGCACAAGACGAAGCTGGAAAAAGCTTAGCGGTATGCCACTAGGCTAGTCACAGAACAAAGAGGCATGAGTTATGAGGAAAGTCTGTGTGAACTGCACCTCACATCGCTGGAAGACAGAAGAGCTCGGGGAGACATGTTCACGACATACAAAATTCTCAGGGGGAATTGACAGGGTAAACAAGGATGGACTATTGTAATGATACAATAATATGTTTTATTAAATCTATAATAGATTTAACTTCTTTAATTGTTTAATAACAGTAATAATTATTATAATAAATATAATAATAATAACGTTTATAGATAATAACATTTATAATAATAATAATAATTTATAATAGTAATTATAATAATAATGGATAGTAATATAATTTATTAATGTATAATAGATTTAATAAATTCATTACAAATAATAACTAATTACATGTTCGTATATTTAAATTTACACTAATGCATTTACGAAGGAAATTTCAGTTATATTAATCCTGGTATTAAATATGGGAAGAATTTGGAGGTTCCAGCAGAGCACCTCTCTGGCGCGCGCATCTTGTAATATGGTATCTCACAAACAATGGATTGGAGATTAATTAAATTAATATTGGTATTTTTACATTCTTACAAAACCACGAACACGCTTAGCGTTTATATAGCACTTGGGGGGTAGAAATAGCCTAAGCTACTCTATCCCTTTGAGAAGTATTTCTTTCTTGTCTCAATAAACATACTTGAACTTGAATTTGAACTTAAAGAAATGGTGAAAAGATTGAAAGCAGACCTGAATGATGCGAGACAGTCTTGCCCATGTGGTTAGCATATCCTTATCCACCTTATCTATTCCTCTTATTATCTTCAATGTTGTGATCATATCCCCTCTGTCCCTTCTATCCTCTATAGCGTTGTGAGATTTAGTTCCACTAGCCTATTATCAATGCATCCGTCTCTCATAGGTATCGAGTTTTTGTGCACCATATGAGCGTTAGTTTATTGTACACAAACACTCGTCCTGCAGCAGCTTGTGCACAACATACACTTCCTGCGACTGTTTATTGTGCAACCCATACTTATCCTGTATGTAGTGTATTGTGCCCAACTCATCCTGTGCAGTTTGTGCACCTGATACTCATCCAGAGTAGTTTATTGTGGACCCCCATACATACTGCAAGTAGTTTATCTTGCCCCCCCCCCCTTCCTAAATCCAGTGATATTTTGTCCCCACTTTCCTCCTATGAGTAGTTTAGTGCCGCCATACTCATCCTGTGTGCAGTATATAATTTCCTTACTCATCTTCTGCAGTAGTTTGCCCCCCCCCCATACTTTTGTGAAATAGGTTAGTGCTCCATTACATAACAAAATAAGACATGACTAAGGTATCAATTTTAGCTTGGCTTTTATTTATGAACAAATGTCTCGCAAATATCGGGAAAGCAAGATTTTTCGATCATCCTGAAAATCAGGACATCCTATGAGGCGGTGGACGGCTGCTTAAATGTGACAATGCAAATCTGTTAAATTAGGTTCCCATGATTTAACCGTATGTGGCAAATACATAACCTAGTTAAAAGTAAAAGGAAATGTGAAAAACACATCGAGAACCATCTCAACACCGAGAGATCCCAACAGATATTAGTACACTGGCTTCAGACTAAATTTTGTCATAAATGGCATAAAAGAAAATGGGATGTTATCTTATAAGTTAGAAGGGACAATACTCGCTTGAAGATCAGTGCTCTATTGAAAATACAGCACTACCTACTAATATTGTAATGAGTGATAATAAAATAAAAAATAAGTTTTAAGTTTTATTAAAAAGTCTTAAATACTATGTGGTCCAAACACATATCACTGTAGAGGCCACTATGAACACAGCTTCAATCCAGACGTGATAAGTTATGCTAATGCAGTCAGGTGAAACTTAATTTGGATTTTCCACTTGCTGGATGATAACCCAGGTCATATATTCACAAAGCAACTTTACTGAGTACTATAATTACACTTGACATTATTCACAACCTAACACCATTCTAGCATTAAAGTTAGAATGAAGCCTGGAATACTTTTCAACCATGTCTGGCACTTACTAAGATGTTCCAAATCATTTTTCTCTAAAATTTTGCACACAATTGTACTCACCACCAAAGTCAAAAATGTGTTTTCAAGAAATGTGCACAAGTCTGCTGACTAGGTCAAGGAAATACACACCATTACCTAAAATTGAATAAGACCAAAATTCAAGTTGTATAACTCTCTCCAGTAACAAATTAAGAAATAAAGGTAGGCTATACAATGTGGTTTTATTAAAAGAAAAAGATACTAATATATCTCTTAATTACACAAATTTGTATAAGGTTAAGGATATTGAACTGCAGCTGTGACAAATTCTATTTACTGTAAATGAACAAAATTTACCTAAATTTTCAAGAAATTAATCGTCACATTGATTCTTATACCTTGTCAATTTATTTGTGCATAATATAAATGCAGTGACTGCTTCAGGTATATTAACAACTGAATGAAATAAGAATGGCAATAACAGAGTTTCAGTCTGCAAAGTTCCACGGGGGGAAAACAAAAATATAAAAATTAAAACTATATTGAAAACACACATACCATACATAAACATGAGCATATGTATAGTAGTGATAATGGCAAAGTAGTGATAATAGTAGTGATAATGGCAAACATTTCACTAAGTCACTTAAATGCTTGCTGTAAGGGTATCACCAATAGAGCCATTCCCATTAGAGCACAGTACATATTTTCTTAAAAGAATTTTGTAATAAGCCTCTTTTCAAGGAAAGCAGACTACAATACACTTATTGTAGTCTGTACAGCATACTTATTGTATTGTATAGCAGACTACCTTATTGCACACACACACAATAAGAATTTACAAGTAAATTTTATCACAAACTGGTAAAGTCTTTTTACTTAACTCATTGCCTATGAATTTGTAAAATATCATATACATTATAATAAAATGCCATCATACAAAAACTTTTACATTACCTAATAATCAATATTTAAAAAGATCCCCATATTTCCAATATTTTATATATGCATATATATATATATATATATATATATATATATATATATATATATAAATAAGGTCTTTGAAAACTATTTCTTTCTTCGAGGATATGGGTCCTTACAATTGCACCAGTGGTGATACCCCTATATACATATATAGGGGTACCACCTTTGGTTGTTTGTAGGGACCCCTTAAACCTCAAAGACGACGATATACAGCACCCAGGAAAGCCTTGTCTGGCTCTCTCGTGCACTGGCACATATTGTCTTCTACCACCCCCTTATATTTTAATATATATATATATATATATATATATATATATATATATATATATATATATATATATATATATATATATATATATATATATATATATATATATATATATATAGCTATAAGAGAAATTCCATGACTCAAGGCAATCAATGGGTTGAGCACAAGATTGTGAGAGCAAGTTGGAAATGGACACTGAAGAACCATTCCTAACCTAACTCAGATATAAGACTGATTAATTGCACAATTAGGTTGTAATGACTTTGATAATAATCAGATGATTCAACCTAACCCAACAGTTTAAAAAGAGCAAAATTAGTATTCCCATAAATGTATGAGATCTGTACCAAACAAGTTTTAAGCACCAGAAACTTGACATTGCATGTATCACTCTCCATTTGTTGTAACTAAAAATACTAGTGATGCCGATAATCAATCTGCATTGTCTTCTGCCTCCCCCTCCTTCACTCTCTTCTCCTTTTTCTCCTTCTTTTTCTTCTTCTTCTTCTTTTCTCCAGTCTGCAAAATAAATATTTGGAGTTAATAACAAGAAAATATTAGTAATTAGCATTTTACACATCAAAACTTCCCATCTGGAATGGCATTACAAATCACATCAATATATTACAACTCTGCATAAACCCTGTCTTAATCTCTATTAGTAATTCACCAAAAGTGATCTCTTAAGCTTTACTGTCAACTAAATCTAATTTACATTATTGGAATAATTATAAAAACCGTTATGTAAACTAAAACTAAATAATTTTATGATCATACATTACTAGTTTAATTGGCAACTATGATACAGCACAACTATACAGCATCACATCATGATCACAGTGAATTTCCATATATATGATGTATTTAATAGTAGTACAAAATACATACTAAAAATACAAATGTTTAGGTATGGTTGATAAAATTATAAATAAACTGTCACATCCATCTTCATTTGGTCAGCTCAATCAAAGTATTAATAAAAAAAAAAGTTCTATCATATCGAACCCAATTTTTATTACCCACTTGGCCAATAAATATACAGTACAAGAAAAATCAATGAAAGATTTAAAAATATCTTTAAATTAAACTATTCATAATTTAATCTTTTAAAGCAAGAATTCTTAGGTTATAAAACTATATATACATTTTTCTTTTATAAAACTCTATGCATTAAAATATTTTTATATTCATAGTTTTGATAAATGCAGCACACATCTTATATTTATTTGAATTATGAGTAACAATTTGGCAAAATATGTTTGATTTGGTAAAAATTATGTTTTGGCATAAGAAAAAATTATTTGGACATAATTTGCACACAAAAAGCACACAATAATTAATTTTTCTACAGTGATCTATTTTATCATATAAATGTTAATTCTTGGTGTTTTAAAACTTGTGCTAACACTCATATGTTATACCAACAACATTTCAAGATGCTTTACAACTTTACCTCTTCTGTCAACTCCTCCACAACTTCTTCTTTTACTTGGACCTCTCTTTCCTCTTCTTCTGTCTTCTTCTTCTTCTTTTTCTTCTTTTTATGGGAGGTTTCTAGATGTGAAGTGTCCATTGCAGTTTCTTCAGTGCCAGGTACCCCTGATCCTTCACTGAGCTTGCGCTTGAAGTAAACAAATCATGTTATTACATATATTTCAATGGCAGCTAATTAAAGAAGGTATCCCCTGTATCAAAAATATCTTTTAATACAAAAATGTATGTACATTATAAACACTTTTTCTACTTAAATGAAGGAGAACAATACACTGAAAAAGTTATAAATACTAATCATATCTTTCACGCTACATATTTCCATCATGCAGCTCCCCATGAAATTTTTACACAGTACTGTACAAACAAACTACATGTACTCCCTTCGAGCCTATTTTCTTACCATATCCCTGCTCACTCAACACAACAAAATTCTTATTCCAAGCCTACACCACCTACTCTCAAATTCATTTGAATACACTCAAAAGTTAGAATAAATAGTCCATTATTAAAAGCAAGCATACCTTTTTAGATGTGGAGACATCAGGTTCAGTTTTAACATGGGTTAGTGGTTCCTCTTTAATTTTGGATTGACTATAGTCAATATAACCTTTTAACCAATCTGACGGAGTGTTCTCATTTGGTTTACCATATTTATCTAATGCTCCTTCCTTAATCATCGTTTTCTTCATGGTGGCCTGAAAAAATAATAATAATAATCATGAAATGCATGGTTAGAAAAATTATCTCAATCCTCCTGAAAACTAGAAAACATTCTTGATCAGCAATGAGGCTCAATATACCTAATTAAAAAATATGCAACATCCTTAGGAAGCAGATCCAGAGTGAGTTTGATAAAGATATTATAGATTAATGCAAATTACACTACAAAATTTTAAAGGGTTCAAGAGCTCCCATTAATTGGATAAGTTTAGATTTAGGAAAAACATGGGTAAATACTGGTTCGGTATCAGGGTTGTTGATTTGTGGCACCAATTACCGCATAACGCTGTGGAGGTGGGGTCCCTTAATTTTTTCAAACATGGGTTGGACATGTATATGAGTGGGATTGGGTGGTTATAAATAGGAGCTGCCTCGAATGAGCCAATAGGCCTTCTGCAGTTACCTTTATTCTTATGTTCTTATCTCAACATATAGCCTGTAAACATGAGATTGACATTCATTTTCTGTACATCCAAATCCATGTCTGCGGCATGAACAGGTCCAATGTGGAGTGGACACTCACGTGGCTGCTCACCTATACATAGAACATAACATACATGCTCCAAATGAGTTCTTAAGTATTGGCCATTACCATTTAGATGATCTAAGCTGCCCCACTCATTACCTTTGTCTCAGGCCAAGTAAGAGCAGTGTGGATTCAGTGGCTAATTTATTGGATTTACTGCAAGTACCAGTGAGGATAAGTGCCAAGATGAAAATTAAACTTGTTGGTGTTGCACAAACCACAAAAAGAGGAAAACAATTACATTGTAGACAAAAATTTAGACAATTAAGCACTCTGAGGAAGTTGAAAACTCACAGAACATCCTCATATATTGCTACTGTACTAGTGACAAGACAATTATCATAGGATAAAAAATTTGGTGCAATTTTAACCAAATATTAAGTTAAATTATATTTTTATCATTCTTATATTATTCCTAAGATTGTTCTGCATTTTGTTGACTGAAAGCAACCAAGGTCTTGAAATATTTTCAATGACCTACAATCTTTGCAATTCAACCTTTTAAATTAGTTTAGAAGTTCACAATGCCCTCTGTTTTCTCCAAGATAATTTGCCCAGAACTGCCTGTTGTTAGTTTGAATCCAAACCTGGTTGATCAGTTATCCTTTGGAGGAGTTTATCAAGTTCATGAGAGGTTAGCCAGTTATGTCCCTTATGTGTAGACAGAGTATTGAAAAATCTTGGGCTCTTGATGTTGATAGAGTTCTATCTCACTTAACAGGATCAAAAATATGCTTTTATTTATAAAAACAAAAGTTACCCATCAAATTGAATTGGGTGGTAGAATGATTGCCTCACTTCTTGCAGAGTTGACATTTGAACCCTGATTGCCTTTATATCCCAAGAATTAACATCATTTTCCTTCTCAGTGCTACATAATCATACTCGTTTAGACATTTTCACTAGTTCTATTTTATCTTATCAAATAGGTTTTAAAATTCTCATTGCAAAATTCAGATTATTTGCTTTAGATAATATTAATCTGCATCGGTAATATTATAATATTAGATACAGTAATATTAATCGGCCTTTTAAATACAACTAGTATGTGATTACACATGCCAAAATATGCAAATAAATTCATTTATTAAATATATGCATGCAAAGAAGCCATTCAAGTAATAAAATACCTTGGGACCTAAACCCCATTTACGAGGATACGTGTCTCTCTCCATGATGACTCTCTTAATTTTGGCCACAACACCATGGTCACACGATGACATAGTCGATGTTGTCATCATTGCCAATGCTGAAACAAAAAAACACTTGTTAATAAGCAATCAACAGCTTATTTTTTATACTATTACTAAAAATAAATAAAAATATTACTTAATGTCACTCAAGTATCAAACTCACAAAGCTGCTACTAAATTCTTTAACTAATCTCGACAGTTTGCAGACTCTTATATTGCAAATGCCACCTTGTTCATTATAAGACAGAAGTGAACAATGTCAATTATTATACAGTAAATAACATGGTATCAAAAGAATGGGAGCTAGTGATTCTTAATTAAAAGAATTGCTCTGTGCTGCGATATATATACCAATACAAATTATTATATTGAACAACCGGGGACCTCTGATGTTTATACAGTGTTTCTCTGATTGTGCTTAAGGTACCCTTACTTTTCACCGGTTCTATTCTGCATTTTCTTCTATATCGTTCACTTCAGTAAGTTATTTTACTGTGTAGATTTGGGACCTGGCCGTTCAGTATTTTCCACGTGTATATTATCTGATATCTCTCTCGTCTAATTTCTAGTGAGTACATTTGGAGAACTTTGAAAAATCCCAATAATTTAGGTACTTTATCACATGTATGTATGCCATATATGTTTTCTGTACTCTCACTATTTCAGCAATCTCTCCTGCTCTAAAGGTGAAAGTGAGTACTGAGCAATACTCAAGACAGGATAGCACAAGTGATTTGAATAGTACAACCATTGTGATGGGATCTCTGGATTTGAAAGTTCTTGTAATCCATCCTATCATTTTTCTGGGTGATGCAATATTTGCTTGGTTATGCTCTCTATGGAGCATAACACTCTTCCTATGCTCCAGGTTATGCTCCTTGAGTGTGAATGAAATGAATAGGCTTCAGGTGGGTAAACCACTACTCTGCAACACTGACACTGAACTAAGAGAATATGTCGGCAAAAATTAAGCACACGATTTGTAAGTATGCACTTATGAATTACTATAGAACACTGTACATAAACATAAGGTACTGCAACCCCAAAACTAAGCTTCACATGACCAGGTTACATACACCGCATAGCATTCTATAATTAAATCTTTCTGGTAGCAAACAAGACTGTCAGCAATGTATAATTATCAAACTTTGCTACTTGTGAAGATGCCATACCATAAACAATTTTTTATACTATCATCAGTGTTTCATACATTAAAATAAATGTTGTCCTGGAAAGTACATAAAGCTAAAGAAATAACCTGAGATAATCTTTGCATGTATAGTAATTCTTTATCAAGCTGAAAACTATTCCATCACTGCCAAAAGTGTTCTTTGATGAATAACTCACCTATGCATATGGCTTCCCCTTTAGTTGTACACACGACTATTTCTTCATCCATTTCTATGCCATTTTCATAGCGTAGTACACCTGGCAACATGATCTTGGCACCATAACAAACAGCATTTACTGCAGAATCCTGACAAAATCACAACCAGAAAATCTCTTTAGTCAAATAAACCTATCAACTAACTGCTCATTAACAAAATGTGAAATGAACAAAACACGTTTACAGATTTTTTTATTAAAAAAAAGAAGTTAAAATAAAGTTAAAAAAGTTAAAATCTATATAATTAACACAACTAAAAAATATATTTGTTTATAATTAAGGTTCAGTTTCATTATATTAATTTGTATTAGAGCCTTGCTAATAAAATGTTAAGATTTAATTCTTACCAATTTCTTTTTACCTTCCATACCTATTACCTTAAGTCATTTAATGTATCACGATGCAAAGTCCCATAATAATCGAACAATAAACGGAAGTTTAACAAATACAGTATTTTAATTTCAGACGCAACGTGCGTCCCTGACGGACAAACGTAAAATTATTAATAGATGCAAAGTGCGTCACCGTCTGAACGAAAGTGTTAATATGGTACTGTATTTGCAAAATACAATATTTGGAATGTGAGACAGCAATATCCTGCTGATTACACTGATGTTACAACTTAAAATCACATACTGAGAATAATAAAACATTACAAAATTAAAAGTTATCAGATGCTGCATAAACTTTTTTTTTAAGGTTAAAACATTAACACTTTCGCGTTCCACAGACTGAATAATTCGTCACTCATTTTTCTACTGAATGTGTTCCAACGACGCAATACTGAGTCACTCATTACAATATTTTTTAAAAATTTAAATTTTATCAGATCAATCTGGTAGTGGTTTTAAAATAAGCGCCTTTAGATTGCACACAATTTGATACCAAAATCAAAGATATAACATGAAACTTGATGTCCAAACACTTGAAATATTATAAATAGGTCTATGGTCTGAATATTAAAATATTTGTTAAAATTCTATTTATTGTCCTATTATCTTGGGACTTGTTTTAAAATGTGCGCCTTTTTATTGCGAACAATTTGATACCAAAATGAAAGATGTAACACAAATATTTATGTCAGAACACTGGAAAGATATAAATAAATTTGTGATGATGAGCGTCCAGAATTAAAATATTTGTTAAAAATCCAGTTATTGCTCTATTATTCTGGGACTAGTTTTAAAATAATCGCCTTTTTATTGCGAACAATTTGATACCAAAATGAGCGACGTAGCACGAAATTTGATGTTATCAAATTGAACGAGTTGAACATTAGGGTGCAATGTACAAAATGGTGCTCGTTCACGGGTAACTTTAGGCTTTTCTGCGGGGAGGCACTCCAGCCTTTTGTACATTTTATTCATACACATCTGTAGGGAATTTAATTGCGAACACAATGATACCAAAACGAGCGACGTAGCACGAGAATTAAGGTAAAAAAATGGAACGAGAATGAACATGTTACTGATTTTGTGCGTTTTTGCCGACTTTACGCTTTGCTGTTGGGAGTCACGCTAGGCTTTTGGACATTATATTTATACACACCTGTAGAGAATTTAATTGCGAACACAATGATACCAAAACGAGCGACGTAGCACGAGAATTAAGGTGATAAAGCTGGATCGAGTATACACATTTGGGTGTCACCGCGCGCTTACCCGCATGGAGGGGCCACCTACCCCCTGTCAACCGCGAGTTTCCACGGAGCGCGAAAGTGTTAAATAACAAAAACTATTAACTACACTTATAGCAAGGAAACAAGACTTTTCATCAAACAGTACAACAGAGCAGAGCAGAAATTAACAAAAATAACAGTGCTAACCACACATCTTTACCTTCATTATAATTCTCTTGTGAGCAATTAGCATGGCTTCCAAAGGCTTAATTGCACGCCGCAGGTAACTTTCATCTTTGTGATTGTCATAGAGCCACTGAGCATCCATAATATCATGCATTGTTACCATCGAGTCTTTTTCTCCCTGAATACCTGTAACAAAAAATCACTCAATTACTAAAGGAGCAAATTATATATATGAAATGCACTTTCTAGGGACTAATGAGCGACTCCCCGAACATGTGCACAAGAACCTCATGGCCAATAATACCTCAAAATGTATCTCTGACCCTGTGTTGTATTATGTATTAAACCATATCTCTACCACTACAAAGACTCCACTACCAACTACTAAAGTAATCTTAGGTCAGTTATCATATAGGTACCTTAGGCTTCAAGTAGCCTTAGTTTTATGATGATACTGATGGGGCTGTAGATTTCAAGTCAATAAGATCAGTTATTATTATGGAATCAAATAGAATCCTTGAAAGAGGAAAGCTAAAAATATACATAACAAAGTCCTAACTGTGTCACATATGAATACCTAACTAACCTGAGCGTACTCTACGCAGCTCCTGCATCTGTCCTCCAGTGCCTAGATGAAGACCCAAGTGCACGCACATTGTACGGATGTAGGTGCCAGCTTCACAACTTACCCAAAAGATACCTGAAAAGTTTCACAAAATAATTGTAAAAGATAAAGTCAAATAAAATAAATATAAAATAAAATAAAAAAAATAAAAATTAAATTACATTTTTGTTGTGGCCATCCCATTAAGTCTCACTGAGAAAAACATAGCAACAAAAGATTACACAGTGCAATTACTTTAAAAATGTATTAAATAAAAATACAAAACCATGACTATACTGTACCTAGTATTAAGTAACATTTGACAATTACAAAATAATAATGACCATACCCATATTCTGTTCTGGATGATATTCAAGAAGTTTGTTATCATACACAGTTCGAACACGAAGCTGTCTTTTGACGGCAGAGATCAATGGTGGTCTCTGGAACTGTGCCCCTTTCAGTTTGTCCAATGTCTACCAAGAAAAAGACAATGGATTCATATTACTTTTGGGGAATGTTTCATTTAATATATTTAATCCATAATGGCATAAAAAATCCATTTGGCTAAATGCTCACACAAAAATAAAATAAAAAACATTAAATGGCTTATTTAAATAAAGTTATACAGCACTAATATATCATGCATACTACTGTACCTCAAAATTCACTGTGCATTTCATTGTACAGATTTGCCTGATCAATAAAGAAATCTTTACATTAAAAATAGATGTAATGCTTAGTTGCTCACTTTGGCAAGTAAAGAATTATCAAAAGTAACTAAGTCACTTGGGCAAAGTTTTGCTGTTCCCTTCGACAGACATATGTAATCAATAAACAGTCAATATCCACACTGCAAGAATGTTCGATCCAGCCTTGAATGACCATGAAACCACTCATTCATTTACATTAAAAAAACTGTTGAACCTCCACCGAAGTGTTAATAAGGGAAGGACAATTCATCTTAAAACTGTTTAAATATACACATGTATTGGGTCTTTCCTTTACCGTATTTATTATTATTATTATAAATAACATGAAATAATTACGATAACGTCAATATAAGTACGGCAGTCAAATAGAGAATAAGGAGAAAAAGTGACCATGAGACAGCTAGAAGTAATGCTAACTGAATACAGGTATAAAATCTACCATCAAGAGGGTGCAAAGCACAATAACAACCAGAACCCTCTTTTTAAATTTTACCAACAATTTACTGTGAACTTACCAGCCTCACCCTTGCTTCACTCTCTACATTTTCATGTAGACGGAAGATACACACGTATTCTTTACCAGCACCCTGCTGTGATTTAACCAGTCGGGTCGATCTTTCCAAGCAAACAATTAAACATCCTGGAAAAGATATAACAGATTGAAGGATAATATATATATACTGTAAATAAATTCTTCAAGGGCTTCCCAAAATATACAATGTGTGGCCTTCTCCCAAAATATACAATGTGAGGCCTTATAAAATCTTAACTAAGTAAAACATGGTTTTCATAAGACAAAAAGTTTCTCACCTCTGGTATAGGCAAGGGTTAATAAGTCAGGAAGTAAATTGGATGTGTACAATTCACTTACACAAGAACCCAAAGTATGGAAGGGCACGAAGAAGTGCTGTCATGAAAGTGATAACCTTTTTAAGAGACTCAAAAATGACAAGAGAAGAAATTCAGGGTGATGTCCAAAGTTGAGATAAGTTCTCAAGGCAAATGCACAAGGCGAGAGAAGGGTCAAGTAAACTCACTCCTCGGTTGCACTTAGCTGGAGCAAGAAAATTTATATAAAAATAAGAATATAAAAATATTTTAACGTGTAAAAACAAAGTACACTTTAGGGGACAGAAAATGCCCACGTTGATCATATAAATTGACAGATGTTGACTTCCTAATAAAGAATCTTAATGCCATATTGTCTTGCTGAGGGTGGCAATAGTAAATAAATTATTATATAGCTATGTACTGTAATTTAACATGCTAGTGAACATTTATTACAGAAACATCTGGCAATTACTTAGTAATTCTTTATCAGCTAAGCATATTTTCTTGTGAAATTTATCATTTAAATTTTAAACAAGATTTTAAATTAAAATAAGTGTCACTCATTATTACCAGATGAACACAAAAGAAAACAGATAATAAAATATAATAATAAAAAGTTATATTAACCTGTAACTTTTGGGTCTAAGGTTCCAGAGTGCCCAGTTTTCTCTAAACGTAGTATCCGTTTTATCCAAGCCACAACTTCATGTGAGGAGGGATTTGAAGGCTTATCAAGGTTAATAAATCCAGCCTTAACATAATCAGTAATATTGCGCCTTAGCGGTGAGCAGCCAAAAGGCAGTGGAGTATAATGGTTGGTTCGCACATTTAATTTGTCAAAGTTCTGAAAATAAAAAATTAGATTCAATATACTGTACTGCCTAATATATAAAAATGCATTAAAACACTTATTAATCATGCACAAATTAATATTTGTGTATCATATTGGTAATTAAAGCTATTAAATATCCTAACAACGTTGAAACAGTCAAGAACAAAGACTTACCTTTAATAAAAGAGGCCACTCTGAAGTATCGATGGCTTTTGCAGGGATAGGTGATGGCTCAATTAAAAAAGTAGTTTCTTGCTGAATCTTACCTACAGACTTCATTTTTTTCTTTTTCTCTTCACCTTTTACGTCCTCCATTCTTCTTAATAAATCTGTAAATAAAAATACTAATAATGTGTGTGAAGATGTGCAATGAACAGTAAAAGTGTAAATGAAGTAATGAAATGTTTGCTAGAGTACAAAATAGATAAAATTAATTGATAAAATACAAAAAGGGAGATAGCCACATCCTCTCCCACAGCACAATAATGTACACCCAACTGGAATCTGCAATAATCTGTAGGTATACTGTAGTAGGACTTGGCTCAAACAAACTGTGATGGAATGAAACCTTTAATTAATTCAAAGGAATTGGCTCTATAAAAATTTTACTAAAAGAGAAAGTGGCTTCCACTCCACCAAGCTATCTTACTAGACCTGCCCAATTTGACATAGTTATAACAATATTTAAAATGGTTTACTATTTCCCTTCACTTAGTGGAAAAATGCTATTTATTTTTAGCATTACAGTCCCTTACTTTGTTTGCATATTTTGCCCTCCCCATGCATCAGGATACCAACACTGGCCCTCCCATATTTAGTAGGTCATGCCTTGGGAACCACTAATCATAAATATTGATTTGCTGTGATGCTAATGTGCAAAGGAACATGGTGTGTTGGCAGCATCACTAATTAATTTGAAGATACAGGTATCGTACAAGTAGTGACACCTCGGCTTACGAATGTCCCTATTTACGAACTTTTCGGGTCACGAGCTTTGCCTCGAGTAACGTAATTCATTGATACGCATATGGTTCCTAGTGCATGGTTCCTGGTGGCATGGTCACCCGTGCTTCAGTTTACCAGTGCCTTCCGCTTAGTGATGATCACGCTTGAATTCTTTGTAAAGAATTTCATTGTTCTTCAGCTTTTGGGGGGTTTTGAACATAAGTGATTATTATACAGTATTAAGACCCATGAAATGGGTCCCAAGAAAGTCAGTAGTAAGGTTCAACCTAGGAAAACACATGCGAGGATAACCATAAGAGCAAAAATCAAGAGATCATTCGTAAACATGAAAATAGTATATGGGTTGTTGAACTAGCTAGGCAATGCAACAAATCTATGTCAACGATATGCACTTTAATTGCTAAGAAAAAGGACATTATGAGTGCTAATGTGGCAAAAGGCGTATCAACAATCACGAAACAAAGAAAAGAACACAAACACTTGACGTTGAAAAGTTGTCATTAATTTGGATACACAGTAAGGAGTAAGCAGGCGATAGCATTTCAGAGGCCATCATTTGTGAAAAAGCAAGGCTATTGCATGAAGACCTTTCAAAGAAAACCTCTGGAACAAGTGATGCAGATACAAGAGAGTTTAAGGCGAGCAGGGGATGTTTTGTTTTGCAAGCATTTTTGGTTTTGTTGAACTTCTATGCACCAGTGCGGGTTTCATACAGTTTTTGTGGTGCTGGTGGCCAGATACCGGTGACTTTACAGTACTACTGAGGGAACATGAGTGGCCTGTTCTTCCACCGTATCAAGGATTCCAACCTAGGTTGTTCACACTTCTGAGTGAGTGATGGCAAAAACCACTACATCACAACATTTAAAAAATGAGTGGCATTGCAACAACAATGATCAAACTCTGGACATTTTAGAACAATGCAGAATTTTGCTTGTGTCTATATTATATAATAATCCAAGAGCAAGTTAGGAGTACATTATCAAGTGAATCCCCTGCATAACAGTGGAACTGCCTTTTCCCTTCACCTTCAATGCCTCTGCACTAGAAGTATACATCTACACCAGCCCAGATGAGTCATCAGTCCTGCCACCTCTTCATACCCCCCAGGACCTGGCACGGCCTGGTACAACTCAGAGGCAAGCCGGGCACCTCTGCTAACTGGCAGTTTGCCCCCACAAACAAGCAGTTAGCTGCCTTCAACTGGCAGTGGTGCAGCTCAACACAAAGGCACCGCCAGCCACAAATGAGCAGTTTGCTAGTTGACCAGATGTCCACCTTGAGTTGACACTGGATGAGTCATCACCGCCGGACTATATAAAGGGCGCTGCCTCCCTGGAGAGCCAGTCTCTCTCTTAGTGCTCTTGGAACACCTTCGTGTCTCTCACTCGTCGTCCGCCTTCAGCCAACACCGTGTGACTGATGCCATGGTGGTATGGTAGCTGTCTTCAGTACACCAGTATATCTTTATGATTTGTATTCATTGCTTACAGTTTATTTTTGTATTAATGTCATATTAACACTTTCGCGGGATCAGGACGCACCCCGGAGTCCTGTTTCGCCTACCCGCTTCCGCTAAGTGGACATAAATTTATGTCCTCTTTTAAAATATTTGTATAAAATTCAATTTTAATCCGATTTCATTGGGGTTTGTTTCAAACGACGCGCCATGAAGTTCTCTTTCTCACCACTAGTTCATGAAAGGTGTGGACCACTTCAATCAAATGGTTAAATATTACAATTTTACCAGGAAAACTCACAAGTGGACCAAAAAGATTACCTTTTATTTCCTGCAAATGGCATTGCATAATGCCTATGTTTTGTACAAATACAACACAACTGATCGAAAAAAGCTAACATTGCTACAGTTCCATGAAGTGGCAATCTGGGCCCTATTGCACTGGGACACAGAGGAGTGGCCTAAAACATCATCATCTCAACACTTGCGGCACGCTCCAGACATAAATGATGACAGCTCCTGCCAATGCTGACGCCATGCCAACTCCCGGACCATCTGGTGTGAGGCGGCCTTTGTTCACTACACCACCTCAAGATGAAGCAGCAACCGATTCTGAACCCGAGATGTCTGCCACACTGCCAGTTGACGAAACTGTTTTGTCAGATGAATCTGACTCCTGCAAATGTTTCACCTCAACCGAGAAGACCTGGCCCTATTGTTAATTCAGAAAATCGCATGAACACAAAACTGAAACATGAACTTTACAGACTGCCCAAACGTCTTAAGTGTCATGTATGAGCACGGTCCGGTAAAAGGAAGGACACAAACATAGGATGCACGACCGGCAACGTTGCACTGTGTTATTCCCTGCTACACCAATTACCACCAGAAAAGGGTGTATTGGGTGGTGAAGAAGTAACCACCCACAACAGCTTCACTCCACCTACAAACCACCTGTTGAGCAACTTCAGGAATGAAGAACCTGAAGAAGGTGGAGTGAAGAACAAATGCTCAACTTACTGTTCCACAACCAGCCTTCTCTTGGTAAGTACACCTATTTGGTCCAAGTTTGTGTAGTATAATTTAGCTCATAGAACATTCTATTGCGAACACATTGCCACAAAAATGAATGACATACATACAATAATAATATCAGGACAGTGAAATAAGTATAAACTTTCAAAGCAACGTTTCGCGCATGTGTCGTCCGGTCACCGTTACCGGGTAACAGTGCGCCCACTTCCCACACTCTTGCGGGTGGGCCGCGACCATTATTCTACGATTATATTCATATCACCGTGTTGGGAATTTCATTGGGAGTCCATTGATACCAAAATTAAGGCTGTAGGACAATTGTAGAGGTGATAATAATCCCAAGAGTAAAAACATTTTGTTGCTGTTGGGCGTTCATGGCGACTCATCTTCGTAGTTATTTATTTCGTGCTGGTATCTCTATAGCTTTCGTGACTTTTTTTACTGATGTTCTTCTAGAGAATTTTATAGCGAACACGTTGGTACCAAAATGAAATACGTAGCATGAGAACTAAGGTCAGGAGAGTAAAAAGAGTATACACATTTTTGTTTTTACGCTTAAGCGATAAAAACGCCGCACACACTTACGGTTGTTTCCCTGACCTTCGCCGGGAGCGCGAAAGTGTTAACTTGTTCACCTTTGCATTACATGATAGCCAAGTATTGTCATGTGTCATTTTTGTTCATTACTATTTTAGTAAATTGTTTAATTATTTATTTGATTTTCATTTGTTTCCACCTGTGACTTACACGCACAAAGGCCAATAGCAGCATTTTTTTTTATTTGTGTGAGGGAGAGCCATATCATCTTGGTACAGTATAGTTGCGACACAACAACCCGTCACAACATATACATACAGAACACTTTATACCAAAAACGTTTCACGAACATATTTTAAAAACTACCAAGCTAAGTAATTTAACCTAATCCAACCTAATAAATTAGCTCAGATTAACCAAAAGATATATTGTATTAACAATTAGAAAAGGAATGTCAAAATCCCTGTGTATACCTTGTATACTACCTTGTACCTACAATTTAGAAAGTGAAATGATGTATTAGATGTTTTGGGCACAACACTACTAAAAGATAGTTTAAAAGATAAAAGATAGTTAAACAAATTTAATAATCTACAGTACTTATGATGATGAAGTAAGTAATTATCAAAGAAGGCACCAAGCCAGGAAGGACTGTGATGATGAAGAACCAATTTGATACACTACAAAAATTAATAGATTGCATATGGAATTTCAAAACTTGTGTATCTGAGGTAAAATCAAATCAAACTGTACAAAATATATTATATATATATAATATATAATATGAGACTGTCAGACCACAGAGGAAGAATTGAAACAGGAATTTCCTTTAAGTACTTTCGTATATTACTACATTTTCAGAAGGAATGATTTTTGATGATGCAAAAATCATTCCTTCTGAAGATGTATTAATATACGAAAGTACTCAAGGAAATTCCTGTTTCAATTCTTCCTCTATGGTCTGACACTGTCACATTTTTCATCACGCGCTAATTTTCATGATTTACACATTAAAATTAAATTGTATATATATATATATATATATATATATATATATATACACACACACACACACACACACGCGCGCGCACATGCCCCCCCACAAAATATATATATAAACAAACTTATTCATTAGGTTAGGTTTGTTAAAAAGTTGCGCTGTAGAACACGTCTTTTGGCCTTTCTTGAACCCCACTTGCTTTATGACTTTTACCAATTTGCAAAATTTAAACATATTTATCATAAAACGTCACTGTCTCGCCATAAATATGCACCAGCTCCTAAGCAGCCACTGCCAAACCACTCCTACACGGAGCCTCCAAATTCAAAATTTTCACCTTCAGCCGACCCCCAATAGCTCAGACTGGCATTACAACCTTTAAGGTTAATGACCCTTACCTTTGCCTTCTTAATACAATAACACCACTTCACCAGACACAGCGTATAATTCAATTACAGTAATAAGTAACTCCATATATTTCATACACTAAACTGTAGTAAAATTTATACCTCATTGGGAATGTCTTACCTATTCACGTTCCTAGGACAATTGTAGTGATTATGCAACACAGGTTGTGGCTTCCGGGGCAAGGTTATGCCTTGCAATACCACTGGTTGCCTAACACACCAATAGACCCTAAATTCCTGGAGAGATTGAGACAAGACTAGAGCAGCCAGCGAGAAGCAGCGGTACCTTCAGCCATGTTGTTTGTTGACGAACACGTGCGTCCTTATGCCCGCCTCGCCACGCTGGTTAATATTTACCGCCTCAAATATAAATTCTAATTAACATACACTAAATGTTTTTAGAATTTATAATAATTAATTTCATATAACCTATTTTGTATATCATACCTCTCCCAACTGGTTCATTTTTACCCACCAACTTTTATTTATTTATTAATTTATTTATATGCAAGAAGGTACATTGGGTTTATGAAAGTACAGAGACTTGAAGTTTCACATTCTTATAAAGCCACTAACACGCATAGCGTTTCGGGCAGATCCTTAATCTAACGATGTACTTAATTTAACATATAATTTTAAGAAGGTAATTTCTAGCAAAGTTAAAAAAAATGGCTACAATTATAGTGTAATAAAGTATAAAGTAAGAAAGTATACAAATATATTGTAAGAAGGTATACAAATGCATTGTAAGAAAGTGTTATAATATACATTGTATAAGAAATTTGACAGAAGGTAAAGTAGGTACATTAATACATTTTAGCATAATTTGAGGATTATTGCAAGATATAATGTAGCAAACTATGTGTATAACATGACTTAAGATAAACAGCAATGATTACAATGGCAAAGTTGTATGGCATAGGTACATATTTTGGGGAATTCGGTAGCACTTAATACAGTGCGAGTTTCAAAGCACTAGGTAGGAAACTATGAATTAGTATGATTAACTTGATACATACAGCTCTTGATAAAAATGAGTTCCCCGTTGGGTTATTTGTGAACCTACGTAAGGCTTTTGACACTGTCAACCACTAAAACCTTCTTAAATTATAACATTATGGAGTCAGAGGTATTATTTATTTATTTATTTAAATAAGCAATACCCTGCAATATTTTCAGTTTTACCTCACTGACAGGCTCCAGTATGTTTCTGTGAATAATTCCATTTCTCCTACACTGCCCGTAAACATTGGTGTTCCACAGGGCAGCATACTTGGCCCTCTCCTCTTTCTCATCTACATTAATGACCTTTCAAATGCCTCTCAACACCTCAAACCAATCTTATTTGCTGATGACACAGCTTTAATTTTCTCCAGTCCTGACCCCTCTTATCACAAATACCAAAATAATTCCGGTTGGTGTGAAAGTGGGTTTGGTGTCTTGTGGTAATCATTTTACTCTGAGGACAGGCTAATTTTTTGTTAGGTTTCATACCATTCTGTCTATCGGCGTCCTCCTGGATAATTATAGCATATGCTCGTGTCTGAAGCTAAACACAAATACAATAAAATTATTAATGATGGCAACAGAGTCCATTTCATATGAATTCCATCTCATTTTTGTCTCCGAATGCATCTTAGAGCTGATGAGTTAGCCAAAGAATCTGCCTTCAAAGAAGGAATTGTTTATAACCTTAGATTGCCTATAACCAGTCTGAGAGTAAATATACACCGAGAACGTCAACAAAAACCTTGTAGAGATGAGGCAAAGTGAAATCGACACTAGTAATTCCATTTATCATCATACTATCATGCAAGAAGAGCCACACATCTATATGGACCATCCAGTAAAATCAGCAGACTCCTAGTAGTTATCACTGCTCGGCTATAAGTATTACTGGGAATTTTCATTACCTGTTGATGTAGACCTGACAAAATCTAAACTGTCAAAAAAATTATTTGCACTCCCTTCGTTATTATGTGATGGAGTACGAATAGATACGTGATTTCAGAGACAAATTAATTGTTCATTGTGAATTAAACGTTCAAGAAATGGGTAAATGATCTACTACCAGAAATTTTAGCCAAATATCCCAGATTTGCTAACTATAGGTAGTAACTGTTGGTAACTAACCTTTCCATCGCTGCCACTGGTTGGGGGGTGCTGTGCAGGATAGCTTTAGTTTAGTTTAGTTCATTTATTATGCACTCCCATACTCATCTTGGGGCGGTAGTGGAAAGGGTTCCAGAGGCACATATTGGGTTCAGATTTAGCTAAGCAAAATACAATCTTGATGAGCTGGTTACAAAATTCAATATACGTCGTCACATCATCAGTGGGTTCGAGATCAACCAGAAGTACAGTTTCTAAATTAAGCAACTGACATGTGTGGAGCTAGTGTCATAATTTTTATGTTTGTCCTGCACACCGCCCCCCAATCAGTGGGCAGCGTTGGATAGGTTACAATCACTTAGTTACTACCTACAGTTAGCAGACTTGGGATATTTTGCTAAAATTTCTGATAGCAGATAATTTTGAATGAAATATTTGCCCATCTTTGGAACATTTGTCATAGAACTGTCTCTGAATTCACGTATCGTTTCGCACTCCATCACATAGTGACGGAAATTGAAATTGAAATTGAAATAAGTTTATTGAGGTAAAATACACACAAAGGGATGAGGTAGCTCAAGCTATTCTCACCCCGTTCAGTACCTCGTGTTAATACATACATAGACACACATCACAAACAAATAGTGACGGAGGGTGTGCGAATAATTTTGTTGGTACAGTTTACATTTGGTCAGGTCTACATCAGCAGATAATGATAATTCCCAGAGATACTTGTAACCGAGTCTAAGCCGAGCAGTAATAACATCTAGAAGTCTGCTGATTTTATTGGATGATCCATAGATGTGTGGCTCCTCTTGCATGATAGATAGAATTACTGGTGTCGATTTCACTTTGCCTCAGATCTACCAGATTTTTGTTGAAATTCTTGGTGTACTATTACTCTCAGACTGCTTATTGACACTCCAAGGTTATACTTAATTTTTCCTTTAAAGGCAGATTCTTTGGCTAACTCATTAGCTCTATCATGCATTTGGAGGCCAACATGAGATGGAGTCCACATGAAATGGACTCTATTACCATTATTAATATTTTTGTTGTATTTGTGCCTAGGTTTAGACACGAGCATGTTACAGTTATGTCTTAAAGAGTTGTGAGCAATTAAGGATGACAAAAGAGTCACAATTAATGTATCAAGTTTGGAGACTTGTACTCATTTCAGTGCAAGAGGCAAGGCAAATAGTTCGGTCTGAAGGGTAGAGACCCAGTTGTTTATACGGACTCCCCACTCAAAATATAAGCCATCGCCCATTGTCAGGACATCAATTATGACATTAGCTCTCCACATATGCAATTAAAGTTGTTTAGCTTGGAGACCATACTTATTGTGGTCTGTCTCGAGTTCATTACTGATGTAACAATATGCATTCAATTTTGTACCTAGCTCATTGATCAAGACTGTAATTTGCTTAGTTAAATGAATTGTGGGATTCAGTCCCTGAGCCCATGTGTACCTCCGTAACCCTTTCCACTACCGCCCATAGGATGAGTATGGGGTGCGTAATAAACTAACTTGACTTTTTATCAATCAATTTTAGTGTTACCTTTAACGTTAACTGGAATTCTTTATGGATATAGTGTATTTGTTCTACCGTATATGTTCAATATAAGTTTCCTTTTCAATTAAGTTAATGATACAGCTTCAAGCTCAATAAGCCACAGTTCTATTAATTGATGAAGATTAAGCTACCACAAGAGGTGGCATTACCAGTAGCAATATGAATAGCCCGTAGGTAGTAGATGTTTGGAGTGAATGTGGTCTTTGGTCGTGTATCATCTTGTAGTGTCTCTGGGACTGTCTTGAGCGAACAATCCTCAATGAAGGGCTATCAATCCACGGAGCCGCCTACCCGCCGAAACCGTACATGCCGAAATACTTCTGCAATTTAAAATCCAAATAGATAAAATCATCAGAATAAATGAGGGGACATTTAACAAGCAGCGGCTTCCTGTCCTCGTGGAGGTAGCTAGAGATAGTGGCCCTCAGGTCAAAATAATAAGAATTTATAGAGTTGTGAGAAGCGGCAACACTGTTGTTGTTGATGAGGACGCTGGGCGCCTCGGCCGCGACTCATCCCATTTGTCTCCGTATTTACTGCTAATTGATCATGGAGAATAAGGAAGTTGCAAGTCTGAAAAGAGCAGCAGATACTACAGACGAAGATGACGTTAGGAAGGGAAAGAAGAAGCGGGGGAAGGTAATAATAAAGGTTTAAACTTAAACCTGGTTCTCCATTAAGTACCTAAGTTCTTGCTGCATAGTCCGTATTGGCATCTTTAGTGATATTTAGCGCAGAGTTAATATCCCGCACCTTTGGTGGTGCTGCACTCTCCCCGGCTTGGTGCCTTCTTTTTATAATTATATGCCCAAGTTCTTAAGTTGTGGAAAGTATTTGGTATTTAATTTCAGCGTAATTCATTTATTATGCACCCCATATCCATGTTGTGGGCGGTAGTGGAAAGGGTTACAGAGGCACATAATGGGCTCAGGGACTGAACCCCACAATTCATTTAGCTAAGCAAATTACAATCTTGGTGAACTACAGTAGTTACAAAATTCAGTATAAGTCGTCACATCAACGGTATTTAGCAATTTGTAATAAATAATAGATTTGTAATACCTTGGGCATGCCTGAGATGGTCCACATGGAACCACAAGCTTACAGTTGATGGAGCTTTGTGCTGGACACATTGTCTCGGGCAAAGCCAGTGAGAATTGATTGGTTTCAACCAGAAACCAATCTGGGGGGGGAGTTGAGAAATTAGACTAAATTTAGTTGAGAAATCAGTACAGTATAGTACTCTAATACAGTAGTGTTTCATGTAAGCTTTACTTTTCCATTACTGTATATTTTTAGCTTTATTGATAATCTTAAAAATGTTCTGTATATTTTATAAATGTAAATGAATTATTATTATATATTATTATATACCTTAACCCTAAAACAGTGCAGCTATTTAGAAGTATTATGTCAAGTTGCTCATGTTTAAAAATAGTTTATACTGCACATCAAATGGGGAAAATGGCATTTAGTGATTGGAGCACAAGAGGACATCACAATTAACAATTGAAGCAGTGAAGGGGTTAAACTGTTCATCAAATATTCTGGAACTCTAGGTGGAAGTTGAGGAGGAGGAAGCAGTGACGGAAGTGAAGGAGGAAGTGAAAACGGAGAAACCTGAGAAAGATGAGGAAGCAGCTGAAACAGAGCAGGATGATCCAACAGGTAGGGTTATTTAAATACAAAATTAATTTATATTTAGGGGTTCAACTTATTTATGTTAATAGGATGTACAGTACTGTAGAAGTATACTGTACATGCTGCATATAAAAAATTTATTAAGACAAAATGTACATTACAATATCATTATTTTCTGTACTTCGTCTTTCCTAATAAGCATACATGGTCTCCGCAGCTTGGTGCCTTCTTTTGGTAATTACTTTCTTACCTAATAAGCATTCTTTACTTTATTGCATACCATGTTGAAATATGAATACAAGCATGAGGGAAAATCAAATAAAATGAGCACTTCAAGTCATAATATAATAATTTGATATGACACTTAAAATATGGTACAGTATTTGTGTATGGTTCTAAAAACAAATGCTGCCTGTGAAAATTAGGCAATGTAGCCCCCTAGTGGAAATTTCCAGGGTTATAAAGCTCTGAACCATACATCTGACTGTCGATCAAGTGCTCCTGCAGCTTGCCGCAGAAATAATTTCATCCTTGTATGAACAGATTGTTTTGATATTCAGTACTGTATATACAATATAATTTAAAGCTGTTAAATGATCCCAGCAACTGGTGATTGTTTCAGTTGGTTTGGATGGTGCAGCATTTCAGAGTCGTATGCCTGCTGACAAGCTGACCACACTTGAGGGCTCACTTTTCTCCGACATAGTCAAGAGTCCACCTCCAACACATAGGCTGTTCCTTCACATAAGGAACAGAATTGTAAGTTTTTTTATGGTAATTCATTGTTTTATTTAAATGTAATATTTGCTATATAAAGGGTTCTCTTGGTGTATCTGCAATATAGAGGGTTCTCTTGGTGGATATCTGCTATATAGAGGGTTCTCTTGGTGAGTATTTGTCATATAGAGGGCTCTTTTGGTGGGTATCTGTCATATAGAGGGTTCTCTTGGTGGGTATCTGCCATATAGAGGGTTCTCTTGGTGGGTGTCTGCCATATAGAGGGTTCTCTTGGTGGGTGTCTGCCATATAGAGGGTTCTCTTGGTGGGTGTCTGCCATATAGAAGGTTCTCTTGGTGGGTGTCTGCCATATAGAGGGTTCTCTTGGAATTTGCTGATTTTGATTGTTAAGATGAAAGAATACATATGTATAGAATTGCATCTCCTTTACTTCTACTTTAATTATATTTCTAAGGATTTGTATAGAAGGCTGCAACATTTGAAGAAAGAGAGAGTGAGAGAGAGAGAGAGAGGCTGTGGGAAAGTCATTGCATGTATTTAAGACAAAATCTATAGTTTATTTTTATTTGAAGTTTGGCTTATTTTACTGTAACCTTGAGGCAAACTATAGGAAAAAAGCAGAGGGAGACACCTGAACTTTTGTCTCTGTATCTTTCCGTTTTGGAAATCAAAGTGACCTTCTTGGAACGGGAGGAGTTAATTGTCATATAAGGGGTAAAGTTAGGACTTTAACCACTAAGCAATACTCAGAATTCTAATATTATTTTTGTATTATGTTACTGATGCATTCACATTTCTGGTTTTGATGACTTGCAGCAGCATGCAAGCATAAGCAAAACTGAGTAGATTCTTAAACCCAAAATTGTTCAAAATTTTCAAATGTTGAAGCAATCTGTATTAAGTCTCTTGTGGTAAACTGAAAGTGTACTATTCTATGAATGCAATGCAGTCATTAAGTAACCAAATTTTTGTGTCTTAGCTCCAGATGTGGCTGGAGTCTGCCCTTCAGGAACTAACCTACGAGGGAGTTATGGCAGATCTGGAGTCGCCATTTAATTCAGAAGGTGTTTTGTGTGCCCGTATTCATGCATATCTTGAACGTCATGGATACATAAACTATGGTGTATATAAAAGAATTAAGGTAAATGATAATACAGTATTCTTAATTATTGTTGTATGTGTCTGTAACCTTAACTAGACCTAACTATTATTTATTTAACTATGGTAATTCTTTTTTTTTTATAGTGAAGAGAATGGTTAATTGTAGTTACCATTGGAAGGACCATCATGGGTGATATAAAATTTTTCTGCCAATTGATCTATGTGACTTCATAAAGTACATTCATCCAGAAATAATAATCGGTTCTGTTGAAAGTCAAGAAGCTTGGCACCAAGGTCTGGCACCACCTAACATTTGGATGTGTCGTCAAATGTAATACATGTACTAGTACATACTATACAGTACTGTATCTACAAATTATACGAAGTTCGAATGATTTGGGAAATTAAATTAGGCTTCTTTCTGAAGTTTGGTAGTAGTAAATCTCTGCAAGGAATATGGTGATTTCAGGTCCACCATTTACAATATTATAACACAACATAACAAAAACATCATATACAGTACAGTATATAATGTTTAATGTAACCAGAGTAAAGTTTGTGTTATGTAAGTTAAGTGAGGGAATTGGATAAGGTGAGTCACACTATGTTAACGTCTACCTTCATACATTCGTTAAACAGATAATTAACTACAGTAACTTCATACAGTTTAATTTACTTTATTCAGTAATAATGAATGTGTGTTTATGTGTATTTGAAAATCTTTTGTCTACCTTTAATACTGCAGGATTAAAACAAGTACTTTATCACGAGGGTAAATTTTTATGTGTGTATTCCACATGGAAAGTTATTACATTCACAGAGGCTCATTTTCTTCCAAATTTGTCATATTTGTATCATTCTACTTTTATATAATGGATTAATGTTCTCTTTCAAACTCTCTATCTCTCAAACAAAAATGCATCCATGTACTGTACTTGGTTTGCTATAATATTTGTCTGGTTTTAATTAATGTGCTCTCTTACAGCCTCTTCCCCAGAAGAAATATGGGAGCATCATTGTTATTGGTGCAGGGATTGCTGGTCTGGCTGCTGCTCAGCAACTCACATCATTTGGATTTGAAGTTACTGTTTTGGAAGCTAGGGTATGTATTACATTAATATTTTCCTTACTGTATTGAGAAGTATTTGATTTATGCCTTAGATCTAACTCTTAGGTCCCTCATTTTAAAGGTCTCTTTACCTTGAGAGGTAAAACATATTGAATTTTGGTTAATTTGTAATCCTGTATATTTGAACAATATAGGTTCTTGATTTATACAGGGACTATGTTTTTTTTCAAAAGCCATGGAACAAAACACACAAATCAGGCTTTAAGGTATATGGGTAAAATTTGGTTAGGTTCTAGCAATTGCTAAAAGTCCACTTTTCAAACACTCCCACCCACCACAAAAGCTGCCCACCAATATCCCCAGCCTATGAAGTAGAAATACAATTTGTTTTAGGTGTACTGTATTTATGTACCTTCACTTTTGATTTCAGGATCGTGTCGGAGGCAGAATTGCAACTTTCCGCAAGGGACCATACATAGCTGATTTAGGAGCCATGGTTGTGACAGGATTAGGTGGAAATCCTGTTAATGTATTATCAAAGCAAATCAACATGGAATTAGTACGAATTAAGCAAAAATGTCCTCTGTATGAATCTAACGGAAACACAGTAAGTGGCTTTACACTAGAGCACTGTTTTTAAAGAGGGCTTGAAGGGGGCTTAAAGTTAATTTGAATAATATCTTCTAAAGGTCACTCAAGCTGGATGGTTTGCTCCAGTGCTCCCTAGTACCATTATGACTCGTAGGGACTATTTGTAACATTCCCTACAGCCCAGTACCAGAATGTTGCCCTACCTGACTGCATGTTACAATTCAGACTTGAGATTGTGGAAACATACCTGAGTGAGCATCCGTATGATTTGTCCAGAAAGGTGTGCCTAAATTTCCAGGTGCGTTGCCTTCTTCAGCAGAGATGTGTCTTGAATGTGTGTCCTCAAGCCTCCAAGGGTGGGTCCCAGATATCCCTGCATTTTCCTGTTACAGTATTAGAGTGGGTGGCCAGGTTATGTGTCTGCCTTTCTTGAATCCATAAGTATTTTCCTGGATCTCCTGGGCATGTTTAATAGCACTAATCAAATCACATTTATTGAATTGATAAAGAAAACGAAAGTTTTATAATAATACTTTTAATCATGTTAGATTTGAATCAGAAAATGAGTTGCAAATTCTAAATTTTTTATAAACATTTATTAGAATATTGTTCTTGACATTTAGGTTACTACCATTACTGTTGATATTTTTATTAATCTTTATTTTCCATGGACATGTAAGGTGTTAAAAGACAAAGATGAGATGGTTGAGAGAGAGTTTAACAGACTGCTAGAGGCTACCAGCTTCCTGTCTCACCAACTGGACTTCAACTACGTAGATAATCGACCCATAAGCCTAGGAGAAGGTCTTGAGTGGGTTATTAAGTAAGTCATCACTTGTGAATTTAATGATAATAACTTTTTCACGGGCCCATCATTATCATCATCATGTTATTTCTCTACAAAGCTGCATTATATAGAAACTAAATTGCTAAAATAAGCACTTCAGTCTAAGTTTAAAGCCAGGTGGAGTTTGTTTTAGGATGCCTATCTTTCTGGGTGCCTAACCCGGTCAATGGCAGACATGGAATGCTTCCAACCACATGGGGGGGTGGGGGTTTCTATAGGCCATTGTTCCTCGTGCCTCTCTGAGGAGGCCAGATTCTGGCTCGTGGTCCCTGGTAGGCAAGAACTCCAATCGAATTGACTGAGGCCACATTCTAATACTGTACATACATATCAGCCCGGTAAGCTCCGGGGAGCCTACGGGACTCACCCAGCAAATGGCGTTTCATTACATTCAATGCTGGTTTTTTTAGTATTTCAGAAAAATTCTTGTCGTTGAATATATTTTTTGTCATGAGTTATGAATGTAGGTCATTATTATAGCACTTAATGCCCCATGACTTTTATTTATTTAATAATAGTCTGTGTCCTTACCTTGTCTGATATTGGAATTATTTTTCTCATATTAAGCCTTCAAGAGAAAAATGTTAAAGAAAAGCAAGTGACCCATTGGAAGACAGTTGTTAAGCTGCAAGAGAAGTTGAAAACTGTCTTGAACAAGGTAAACAGTTTGATATATTAGTTGCAATTGATATTTGCTGATTATATGATTTACCAGTTGGTACTAATATTATTGATATTTTGTTTACTATTAGTCTGATAGTGTAAATGGTTTGTCATTACTTCCCTTGAGAATACTGTAAAGCCACAGTTTCATCATGATGCATTCCTGCAGCTTTGTTGTTTTGGTAGGGGAGGGGAATTTGGAACTAACAAGGACGTGTGTAAATTCCCTGACAGTCTGCTATGAATAAGCCAAGTGAAGCATAATGACAAATGTTCATATATGTAGGTTTGGTGTTCCATGCTGGAAATACTAAGAGAAAGAATCAAAGCTTTTGTAGATGTTTTTGAAATTGAGAATGTCCTTGTCAGTTATGTTTGATATGATTAAAGAGTGTATATGTGTATGTGTTTAGCACCAGGGTTCTTTGTCTAACATGATTAGATACAGACTACCTTGTATAGTTTTTATTTGAAAAGGTTACAAATATTGTTACTTCTTTGACATCATCAAGGATGTCAGTGAATTTTGTAGATGTGGATTTAATCTTTTTTATCTTTCATTTTATTCTCTCTCAACAGCTTCTCACCCTTCATGACAAAATTGCTCTTTTACATAAGGAGCACGGCCAGTTAAGTGAAAAGAGAAACTCACGGAACATTACTAATGAATTTGTGTATCGTGTCAAACTACGAGAGCTCCAGAACTCCTGTAAGGTAAGCTCCACGTATTAGCGTCTGGATTTGTTTTAGTAAAGCAAAATTTTAAAGAAATAAAGTTCATTACCTGATTAATTCTAAAGAAATCATAATTTTACTTTATTCGTGTATTTTAGGAATGGGATCAACTAGTGGAGCAACAACGGGAAATAGAAGACAAGCTACAGGAGCTGGAGGCCTCATCTCCTAGTGACGTTTATCTTTCCTCTAGAGATAGACAAATTTTGGACTGGCATTTTGCTAATCTGGAGTTTGCCAATGCCACTCCTCTTAACAACCTTTCGCTAAAACACTGGGACCAAGATGACGATTTTGAATTTTCAGGCAGTCATCTAACAGGTACTGGTGACATTATTAACTTTACATATAATACATTTTGTATTAATAATTTAATAATTCATTGTGTTGGTGGTCAGGATTAGTGTATTCATACAATTTAGGCTTATATCAAGGTCCCTCCCCCCCCCACAAGGTCAAATTACTGACCCCCACCCAGAATGCAACCCCACATCAAGCTGACTAAATCCTGAGTACCTACTTACTGCTAGGTGAACAGGTGCATTAGTTGAAAAGAAATGTGCCCAACCATTTCTGTTCCACCCGGGTTTTGAACCCGGAATTCTCGATTGTGTGTCGAGAACGAACCTGACTGTACTACCGGGACCCTTGAACCGGTTCACTACCTTGAATTGTTGAGGTTGCTATTTGTAATAATTTGCAATGAAATTTGCAATCATTGGTGAATTGAGGAATGGTTTGATTATTAGATATTACTATCTGGTGATATATTTTTGTCCTTTTCCCCTACCATATTCCATATGTGGCCAAAATGTTTCCAAATATTTTCTTCATTCTGTTTCCTGATGATAATTTTAAAATGTATTGATATATTTATTACAAATTTTAAACATTAACCTAATGGCATGATTTAGTGCAAACTTCTATTTTATTAATCCATTATCACTTATTTATTTTACCATTTTTACATGATGATTTTATAACTGCATGTTTTCTGCAGTTCGAAATGGATATTCCTGTGTTCCTGTAGGCTTGAGTGAGGGCCTGGATATTCGACTCAATACTGCTGTACGCAAAATTACGTATTCTAATTCAGGTGCTGAAGTGACAGTTTCGAATGCTCGTACCCACTCTAACCCTGCTACTCTCAAGGGTGAGCCTTTAAACAATCCATCCCTGTTATGTATTGTATTTCCAATTGGATACTTTATGGTTTTCTTGTTTATAATTTCCTTTCAACAGGATGCTGTTTATAATGATATCCATGAATTGCATCATTAGATAAAAGCAAATAACAAAGTTAGCTTTATGGGTAATTAATTATAGGTTATATCCCTTAGTGCATTTATTTTCATGGATCTTGATTTTCTATTTTACTTGTTTATTTGTGGCAGCTGATGCAGTGTTGTGTACATTGCCTCTCGGTGTTCTGAAACAGTCAGTGTCAGCTAATCCGAGCACCCCACATACAGTCTCATTTAATCCTCCTCTACCGCAGTGGAAAGCTGATGCCATTAATAGACTTGGCTTTGGCAATCTGAATAAGGTGAAGATTTAAATGTTTTTCTTGGCAGACTCATTGTAAATTAGTATAATGTAGGTTATTTTTCATAAATAAAAGAATTGTTTTTGTTTCTCAAAAGTAATTTGTATAGATTATGAATATATCTTCATAGAAATACTCAAAACTTATTGTCAGGCACTTTATAGAAATACAGAAAACTTATCTAATATTACATTTAATGGAAAAAAAATAAAGGAAAAAAAAAAAAAAGGGAAGGGGGTGGTAGGAGAAAAGCACACAGAAACTGTATTGGAGGGGACCTACATTCCCTCCAATGCGTTATGTGTGGTTTCCTCCGAGGCTATGGGTCCCCCTTCTTCCAGCCAGAGGTGGTACTCCCTTCCATTTTGTCTTTAATGGAAATAATTTAGTTTGTGATCCATCTCATTCTGCTGGTCCCGAAGGTGAGATCAACTAGTCTTAGTTGATCTTAACTAAGTTGATCAACTAAGATCAACTAGTGCATGATCCTGTGTACTGCACAGGATCATGCACAATCAGGCAGACTTGCATACTGCACCAGTTGCAAAGGGAAATATTTAAACTGTCCCTGCAGGCACATTAAGGTGATAGGGAGACCCTAGAGAACATTAAGAGTGGTCTACAATTAGCAACAGTTGTTTATTCATAAACTTGAAGACATTTGTAACCCTCTGATCAGCAGAATGAAATAGCTCAGAAAGTCACTTTCCATAGACTGTAGCTCATTTCTTTTTTCAAATTTTTCTATTAGTTAACATATTAACTTGTAATATTTCCTAACTGTCAGGTGAATAAAAGATAAAATGTATTTTAAAAATGTATTATTTTACACAAAATGCATACAATACAGTATAAAGTTAAGCAAAAAAAATATTTTTCTGTAAATTTGTTGTAGGTTGCACAGTATACAATAATACATAATTTGTTGTGTTATAAGCTTCACTACTCCAACACTACTAACATTTAAGACTAAATTCTGTCTTATAAAATAGCTATATTTTAACACTGAGGACAGTTTAGTAATGTTCATGTAAATTAATTTTTTTCATTAAATATTTCCAGGTTGTTTTGTGTTTTGACCGTGTATTCTGGGATCCAAATGCTAACTTATTTGGTCACGTTGGTTCAACTACTGCCAGCAGAGGTGAGGAAGCCAAGATTCTTGGTGTGACCAGTAGAGCAGTTGGCTTTGGTGCCCATTAAAGCACTGTTGTAGTGCAACAAGGAGACGTGTCAGTGCTGTAGAGGTCTTACTTCTTGCAGGTCGACATTCGGTCCCTGACAAGTGTCCAAGTGGTTGGGCACCATTCCATCCTATGTCTTATCCCAGCTCCTTGTCCTCATATCCCTTACAGGTGCTGTATAGTCATACAGGCTTAGTACCTTTCCTTGATAATTACTTTACCTTCCCCTTATTCTACTTTCCAATTCCCACATTATATTTTGATTAATTTTTTGTTCCTTATTTGTTTTTTTCCTTTTCTTGAAAGTTTTGTTTTGCTTCTTTATTGTGATGTTTGATTTATACAAGTTGTAAGGCACTAGCCTGCTGATTTCTTTAAATGTTGTAAGTGTTTCTTCATATGTGTAGAAACTAAAATATCTTGCAGTGGCACCTTAAGATAAGGAAGTTTATATAGGGAATGAAAGCAATGGAGGTTACAGAAAGCCTTAAAGATTATGGAATGTGAAAGATCATATAAGCCATATCATATCAGAAATGATATGGAAGGTTGAGCAGTTTGTATATTCAACAAATATTCAGAGAGGAAACTTTTATTATACAATATTAAATTGAATTTAAAAAGTATTATTGTAACTGAATAAATGATCAGTCACAATAAGTTATTGAAAGTTAGACTCTAGACCTACAAATCTAAAATTAAAAGAAGTAACACTGTTTTGGTCCGTCCTGGACCAAAATATTTGAAGATGAACGTTACAAAGTACAGCACAGACATAAAAAGAATGAATCAAAAATATAGGCATGAGAGATGCTGTATTTATTTATGATTATAAATATATTTTATATATATTTACACAATTAATTTATCTATATTGCTGTAGAGAAAACAAAATTTTCTTGAACAATATTTAAAATTCTTTACTATTACCTGAACTGTACTCTAATATTCTGGATTATAACATGTTCAGTGAGTGTTGTGGCTGTTTTAAAATTATAATGGTATATCTGTTGGCCTACTTGGTTTATACCTTTGGCAATGTTTTGCTTTTCCATTTCAGAACTAGACCAGGTAGGTAACTCACGCAGGGAATTTTCAGTATTTATGAATGACCCTCCTTGAAAATACACAGGACTGGATAGTTTTCTCCAGTGTCCGGTGGGGATATTTGGAAATAATGCCAACTCTGTGGGGTTGGGGTAAAATGTCAACCTGCAGGACTGTATCTAGTCTTGTCTAGCAGAGAGCAGGACTGACGAATTTTATAAGACAACAACTGGGTAACCTGATCAGAGAGGAACATTTCAATGTAAAAGCAAAGACTCTTTATTTTGGGGGGTGGGGGAGGGCTTTTACATTCAGACATTAATATTTTGTTGTTTCCTCACAGGTGAATTATTTCTGTTTTGGAATCTATATCGAGCACCAGTTCTTCTAGCCTTAGTTGCTGGTGAAGCTGCTGCAATAATGGAAAATGTCAGTGATGATGTTATTGTAGGCCGCTGCATTGCTGTTCTTAAAGGAATATTTGGAAATTCAGCTGTACCACAGGTAAATTTAATGTGTGTTTACTGTGTGTTGAAATGTAGAGTGTACTGCTTGATGCATAGAGAAGTATCACTCCTTAATGAGCATCACCATTCTTTAAAGAATATTCTTAATTATGCTAGTGTGATTCAAGACAGTTTTCCCTTTCAGTTAAGAGTACAAATGCTTGCTTCTAATATGAATGAGATGTGATGTCACATTGAACAGTCACCAGCTCAAAGCATCACTTGCAATCTAATATTTGGCTAGCTAAGGCACATCAGAATCACTTGCAGGCAATTGACCATATTCTCTACCTGCCATGTACCATGATGGTACAGAATGGATTTTCATCTACAAGTAGTGCAGTAAACTCAAGAAGCTGTATTTTCTGGTGTATTAAACTGTCATTTGTGGTGGTCATGAAGGCTTCCTTGATGATTACTCTTCGCTGACAGATTACATTACAGATATTGGATTCTATTTGAATCCTAGCCATGGTTTCTTTGATCATGACCATAGATTCCCCTTGCAAGCATTTTCTAGAGCATAACATCAGTGAATTTATTATATATGTTGAAGAATTTAATTAATAAAATTTTTCCTATACTGCAGTGATGCTGTATGAGCCACATTTGTTAAATTCTGTAATATACTGTAATTATGTTTTTGTATTATTAGAAGGATTTTTTCCATGGAGGATATTTTAAGAGGAGACACATCAATGTTTTTGTTTCAATATTTCAGAAACTGAACTGATTATTTTAGACTGCCTTGAGTTAAATCTTTTATGAGTTTCAACCAGTGTTTTAGTTAAACAAAAAAGACACTGAAAACAAAGAAAAGAGAAGACAAGAAAAGCCTTCACACATGTGATAAGCCAAGCTTATTCTATTTACAAAATATATTCAGCTTTTCTTTTCAGTGCGCAATTGAAAATAATCGTGTATAAATAGGGCATTTTTATTTCACCTCTGTCGATGTTCCTATAACAAAATTTCAAATCATATAATGCAGATAATACTTGGACCATATTTCCTAATAGTAAAACAAAATAAAGGCAAAAGCTTTTTTTTTTTTTTTTCCCTGATTTTTTGAATGACAGAGCTGGAAGGAGCAGGTCTTTTTTACAAGAAATATTTTTAAGACTGACTTTAAGATTATTTGGACCATCAGAGGGGACTGAAAAAATTAGTATCACACAGAAGGTATTAATTGATAAATTAATGTAATGTAAAGATTTAGTGCAGTTGGTAATTATAATTTAAAAAAAGACTACAGAACTTAATACAGAAATTTTTTGTAGCCAAAGGAAACTGTTGTGACACGATGGCGAGCTGATCCCTGGTCAAGAGGATCATATTCCTTTGTTTCTACTGGAGCATCTGGAAATGACTATGACATCCTGGCTACCCCAATTTCTCTTCCTCAACCCAATCAGAATTCTCAGAACTCTCAGAACTCTTCAGACACTTCCACTCCTCCACCCAGGCAAGCTTCTAGGCATCTGTGTGCATATACACATTACAAAATACTGGTATTGGTGAATAAAATATGAGTATTGTATGTGAGGAATAAAAATTCTGATTCATAATTATCCTTTAACCCATGTTAAGTTGTAGCCATAGTGGAGTAGGAGACCAGGAAAACCTACTTCAAATGGCCAAATGTGTTCTAAACATTTTCTTTTTTTGTATAGTTCTGTGTTTGAATCATTTGCTATTAGTGAGAGTTGATAAAAAGAGTAATTGTTTGACTTTTGACTTAATTTGTGTTGCTGAATGTGAAAATTCATCTCGTTAAATACTTTGTTAATACTTTGTTGATGTAATAATGTATCAACAAAGTATTAATACATCAACAAACCAACAATACTTTGTTGATTTGTTAATATGTGTTCAAAATTTGAATTATCAAGTGAATAACTAACTTTGCAGATTATTCTTTGGAGGAGAACATACAATCAGGAACTACCCAGCCACTGTTCATGGAGCCTTTCTCAGTGGCCTACGTGAAGCCGGTCGAATTGCTGATCAGTTTCTAGGCTGCCCATATGCAGCCCCTCCTCCACCTCCAACAAATGGAACAGCCAATATTGAAGCATGAATTAGCAAGTGAAATTTTATGTACAGTATGGAGTAACAATTTTTGTGATGTACCGAGGAAAAATATGAACTTTTTAGGTTTGTAATTTGGCTGTTCCGAAACAAATTATATTTCCTTAAAATTTAGTTAGTTTCTAGAGTAGAGAAATTGTAAAATTGTTGTAAAAGCAAAATGATTAGTTGTTTGTAAATTCATTAAACTTGTTGTTCTGTATTTCTCATGTCAATAAAATTAACAACCAACCTTGAACTAGTAGGAAAATGTATGTTTTTATACCTACACTATTTACAATTTAACAAACATTGTTGCCATAAATTTATATACCCCCCTTATAGGCAGCTGGAAGTTTATACTTACTTCTACAACTTTTACATGGAAAACTTTTTCGTATAATGCTAGCATCAGGAAAGGCAACACTGGTACTTTATTTAACATCAGTAATATCAATAATGGTACTGTAGTTAACATCAGTAATGGTAAACCTTGTACTGTATTTAACATCAATAATGGCAACACTGGTATTGTAGTTAACATCAGTAATTGCAGCTCTTTGTTTTGTTAATGAATCCCTATAATTACCAAGATTTAATATCTCACTAGCTATTATTTCCCAATAAAGTTTTGAAACTTGTCATTTACTTAAAAATAATTAATTAGAATATTTTTTGGGCATGTGAGTATTTTGTCACAATATTAATTTTGTAGTTTTTTTTGTAGTATTTTTCATCATTCACCTATTTTTATTTTTTGTTTTCCCTGAAATGTACAAGAAAACATAAAATTTAAGGTGGAACTTTTTATTCAGGTTTCAAAAATTGATAGTATTTCAGATAGTAATTATTAATACATTAATATCAGTATTTAATTAATTTGATGCTTTGTATATTCAAGGATGTATTTGGAATTTCTTGTTGATTTTGAAAATTTTCAAATTTGTGCTTATTTTGTGACTTGCACAGCTGTTAAGACTCAGAATGACAAGAATTGCACAGACCAAAATTTAACCAGGAAGCAGGCGATTCGTCACAATAACGTGGCTAAAGTATGTTGACCAGACCACACATTGGAAGGTGAAGGGACGACGACGTTTTGGTCCATCCTGGACCATTCTCAAGTCGATTGTGCATGTAGCACAATCAGTATTTAATTAACCAGGAAGTTTAGTGTGGTCGCCAACTTGTTTTATGTATTCACCTAGTTGTGCTTGCGGGGGTTGAGCTCTGCTCTTTCAGTCTGCATCTCAACTTAATAATGGTTAATTAATCAACTCTTGATTGACAACAACTACTAATTCCCCCCCCCACCCACCCCCATATATCTTCGTCGTCGTCGTCGTCGTCGTCGTCGTCGTCGTCGTCGTCGTCGTCGTCGTCGTCGTCGTCGTCGTCGTCGTCGTCGTTGTTGTTGTTGTTGTTGTTGTTGTTGTTGTTGTTTTCGTCTTCCTTCTCTCTCTCTCCCCTTATATTCTCTCTCTTTATCAAAACATTGTTATAACAACAATATGTGTAGTGGGTAGGTGTTTGTGTTAGGGCGGCGGCGTGAGTATGGAGGGCGTGAGTGGGTGGGTAAGTGAGGCTGGGAAGTGGGTTAGTAAGAGCGTCTTGGGGTCCTGTCTAAGACATGACTCTTTACTGAGACTCCGTGAGGCCTTACCCCCCCCCCAGTAGGGTCAAAAACCTGTACCGCCAAGAATATTATGACGTCATAGTCACGTCATTCGCATCCTCTACATTGTTCATCCTTATTTTTAATTTATTTTGCTGGATTAGGTAAACATAGTTTGATAGGTTGGGTTGGGTTAGGATAGCTCGAGCTAGGTTAGGTTGGGGTTTACAAAGTAGCAATGACGTAGAGGGGTACATAGTTTCCTCAGGTGTTAGACCTGGGGGCTCACAGCTGCACCGTCCTGTGTGAGTGGAGGGCGGCGCCTCGCCACGCCATTTTAGATCATCTCTCTCTGGATTGAGACGATGTTAATATGTTTCAACTTGGCCATCAGGGCGTTCAACCCGTCTACCGGCGCACCTGTGCTAGAAATGGCGTGTTATGGTGTGGTAGTGAGCGTAGGTGGTGGCTGGCTGGAGTATTGTGCCGGCGGCCTCTTTAGCCGCCACCTACATCACTCACAGGTGGTCCATGCCACAGCTGGTGTAGGACACAGGTGGTCCATGCCACAGCTGGTGCAAGACACAAGTGGTCCATGCCACAGCTGGTGTAAAACAGGTGGTCCATGCCACAGCTAGTGTAAAACAGGTGGTCCATGCCACAGCTGGTGTAAAACAGGTGGTCCATGCCACAGCTGGTGTAGAACACAGGTGGTCCATGCTACAGCTGGTGTAAAACAGGTGGTCCATGCTACAGCTGGTGTAAAACAGGTGGTCCATGCCACAGCTGGTGTAGAACACAGGTGGTCCATGCTACAGCTGGTGTAAAACAGGTGGTCCATGCCACAGCTGGTGTAAAACAGGTGGTCCATGCCACAGCTGGTGTAAAACAGGTGGTCCATGCCACAAGTGGTCCATGCCACAGCTGGTGTAGGACAGGGAAAGGGACACTACATTGGTTGTGACAATGTGGAACACGCCGTGGTTGAATAGGGGAAGCCGACGGCGCGCGTGGTTGTGGTTGTGGTGGGGGATGCTTTTGGCTGTGGTGAGGAGGCGGCGGCGCGTTGTGGTGATGGGGGGGGGGGGGTGCGCCGTAGTTGTGGTTGGGGTGGGGGGAGAACGCGCCAGGGTTGTAGGAACGGCTGTGATTGTAGTGGTGGGAGGAGCTCCCGTAGTTTTTTTGTTTGTGGTTGTGGTGGGGGGTCATGACGTGGTTGTGGTAGTAGGGGAGGGGCGTGGTTGGTGGGGGTGGGGGTCACGGAGGAACTGCACATTTTGGAACAGGTGCAACAGGTCAGGGTGGGCGACTACACATACACACGAACATAAACATACGCGCACACACGTGGCTCCATTCACGCCGCATCTGTCAACGCTTAGAGCACGCGTATATGTGTCATGTTTAATATTGGAAAGGGTTATATTATGTAATGAGGACCCATGTACGTGTGTGTAAGTAGGCTTCCATGGAAGGAAAGATACGTTCATGCGGGGTAATGGTCGCCATAGTATGGTCGGGTTCGTTCTCAAATCACAATCAAGAATTCCGGGTTCGAATCCCAGGCGGGACAGAAATGGACGCATTTCATATTACCTAAGGGACTGTTCAACTATCAGCAAGTAGGTACCCACGAGTTAGTAAACTTGTGGAGTTGCATCCTTGGGGTAAGGGTGAGACCTCGATATAAGCCTAACGTGTATAAACACACTGGCTGCCTGTCCCCTAACGCAGCTAATTAAATTATTATACCGTATGCACAGATACTCAACATTGCATAAGCTTTCATATATACAAAATTAAGCGCTGGGAAATACAGCAACACGACCCTCCAGTAGCTTCGGGCGTCCGTAGCCTTGACTTAGTGCACGTGAGGAACGAGCACGGGCATGGTGAACGTGCGAGGAGGCTGTAACGAGCACGGTGCACGTTGGAGCGAGCATGGGTACGGTGCAGGTGGGAGGAGGCAGGAGCGAGCACGGGTACAGTGCAGGTGGGAGGCGGCAGGAGCGAGCACGGGTACGGTGCAGGTGGGAGGAGGCAGGAACGAGCACGGGTACGGTGCACGTGCGGGGGTGGACACCGGAGACGGGGAACGCGCGCGTCAGCTGCCGACTTTCACGCGCGTGCGTGCGTGTTTAAGGTGTGTGCTGAACCCATCCACAGCCTGCCTGCCTTGGGCCCGTCCTAGCTCCGCCTCTTTACACAGTTGGAGGTGACAACGCCTCTTTGCCATATAATAAGACTAATATATTCGTGCCCTATGGCAATGTGCACTCCTCCCATCTTCATAATGAATATAAACACGATTATGGGAGGGAGAGTTCCCTACAAGGGTCGCTCTAAGCTCAGCGACTAGCTCCGGGACAGGGGAGGCGCGCACGTCTGGCACCTCGGAACGAGTCTACATCTGGCGGGAAACACGCGCTCCCTCCTCATATGTTTGGAAAATGGACTAAAACAACGTTTCCATTGTAGGATATGGTAAACTAACTCTGGGATGGTGGAATATGAGTAAAAAGGAGGGTAAACATGGCAGGTGCGGGCGTCCACACGGGTCAGCGGGCAGGTTGTAAAGTGAGACGAGCAGTATGCCAAATATGGGGATGGATTTGTCGAGTATGTGGCGGTCTGGTAGGGTCGCACCAAAATTAGAGGAGCAGCCACGTACAGCGTGTGTGTGTGTGTGGACGTTGGTGTGTGTGGTACCTGCTGTCGTCCACAGTGGTACTCCGTTGTTGGTACTCGGTGGTGGTGGTGTGGTAGTGCGCCAGCCATAAGCTCACAGCGGTGCCCGGGTATGGTTGGCGCTCGGCTTAATCACTCCAGTGGTGTGCCTTACCTTCAGTGCTGTGTTTGGTGTGTGGAAATATATTAATGGGAATACAGTGTTATTATAGCCCGTGAGATGGTCATGTGGACACTTATATACACCATCAACACATACGCTCACAGAAATGCGCGCAGGATGTAAATTGAAGAGGATTTATTCACCGTAGGTAAGTGAGAGGCCCTTGTGGCCTGCTGTTGGTTGGGTAATATAGCTGTTAAGAAGCAGGTGGTTGTTGATGTGGTGTGTTAAAGCAGCGACCTGCAGCTGCCTGCTCCTGGCTCAGTGTTTACCAGCGTGTCAAGTCTCTCTCTCTCTCCCCCCCCGGCTTAAGGCCACCTCCCGCCCCACTACACCGGAAGTGTGCGGGTGTTAGTGTAGCGAGGTGACCAGTGTGTGTGTGTGGGGGGGGAGGGAAGGGGCTCAAGACGCCACACTGGCAGTGTAGAGTGCGTAGAGTGAGCGGCCTCCACACTTGTCCTAGTGTTGTGGACACGCTCCCACTGTGTGTGGGCGCCCACCTACCCACCTGTCATAGTGGTGTTGAGACAGTGTAGGTGCTACACCTAGTGTACACTAGGTGGTGGGGGGGGGGCAAGGTGTCCACTCTCCACCACATGTAGATGGCCATATATATGCTTCCTTACGACTTTATTATATCTGAAATAATAAAAGCTAATAATATTCCCCAGAAAGTTTGACTTGTAACACGAGGTGGACGATGAGGTGTGAGGATACATGAGTGTATCAGGACAGTATGAGGCTGGTGGTAACATGGACGATGAGGTGTGAGGATAATCTTGTGGTAATCTCATGTTAGTGTGTTTCTCATATGTTAGTGTGTTACTTTTGTGTTAGTATGTTAATCTTGTGTTATTCATGTTAGTGTGTTAAGTCTGTGTCAGTCGTATTAGTGCGTAAATCTTGTGTTAATTCTGTGGTAATGTGTTACTGTGTTAATCTTATGTTAATATGTTAAACTTGTTAGTGGAAGATTAAGGGTATGTGTGAGCATGGACGGTAACATGAACGGCCCACACGCCCTCACCACACGGTAAGGGCGTGTGGGCGTGGACGGTGAGGGCGTGTGGGCGTGGACGGTGAGGGCGTGTGGGCGTGGACGGTGAGGGCGTGTAGGCGTGGTGATGGCAAATACACAGACATAATATGCGAGAGGCTTGGTGGTGGTGGTGGTTGTACTGGTCTGACTTCACTGTTATGCTTGACTTCCTGACCGGACCTTTCAACCCCTGAGAGAACTCATTAAGGGACCCGTAGCCTTATACCTCAGGCTGTGGCTCTTTGATCTACCCTCTCTAGCCGACTTCTGTCGACTCCTGTCGACTCCTGCCGACTCCTACCGACTCCTGTCGACTCCTGTCGACTCCTGCCGACTCCTACCGACTCCTACCGACTCCTACCGACTCATGCCGACCTCTGCTGCTGACTCCCTGTGATGAATGGGCTCCTTTCATCTCTGGACCTTACTCCTTTTAATTTACATTACTTTTTGGGTACAGTTGATGACCACTTTGGATTCCTAGACCTGGGTATGATCTCCTTTCACCCGCCTTGACCTCTGGGCACGACCCGCCTTGACCTCTGGGCACGACCCGCCTTGACCTCTGGGCACGACCCGCCTTGACCTCTGGGCACGACCCGCCTTGACCTCTGGGCACGACCCGCCTTGACCTCTGGGCACGACCCGCCTTGACCTCTAGGCACGACCTGCCTTGACCTTTGGGCACGACCTGAATTGACCTCTGTGCACGACCCGCCTTGACTTTTGGGCACGACCTGCCTTGACCTCTGGGAATGACCTACCTTGACCTCTGGGAATGACCTGTCTTAATCTCTGAACATTACCCGTGCTAATATGTAAAAAAAATGATCAATTTAAAGTAAAATGCGTATCAATTAAAACTAACTCGAGTGAGGTCAAAGGAAACCTGTTTGTCTTGAGAAAGTTCTTAATACCGTCTTCCACAAGACTTCCCTTCACGAACTAGTAAAGCAGTGTTCAAGTACCGAAAGAGTACTGACACGAGTACAGAGAGCCATAGTAGTCTGGATAAACATATAAGAGAAAGAGCTCCACACGAGGCAGTAAGATAGTTCATGTCGCTCAAGACTCTGGTGAACGACCTCTTGAGGAAACAGGATCGTAACGTAATGATGTCTGCAGACGATGGGAAGTTGACGACGGAAATAAAGTTAGTAAGCCCTGAACAAGCTACAAGACTGGATAAGAATTCAAGTGGCTACTTGAATTCAATGATAACAAAGGCAACGCAATGAAGATGGGAACCTTGAAAGGCAACCAGAAGAAGTGTATGGGCAAGCTGATACTCGTGTACACAACAGAACATCAGCGGCACGTCTTGTAAGCCAAAAGGAATAAGAAACTTCAAAGTGGGTCATGAAGCAGATACCAGAATGGGGTTTGAATATGAAGATATGTAGGGAGAAAAGCGGGTAGACGGGTGTAGGGTGATGGTCTAGGGAAGGTAGGGAGAGAAGCGGGTAGACAGGGTTGGAGTTAGTACATTATGAAGGAACTCAGTGGAGCATTAAGGTGAGTGTAAGGTGAGTGTACTTGGCGAAGATACTGAGGGAGTTAGAGAACATTCAGACTGGTAGATGACCACTTGTACAAACTAGCTCTTATAAATAGTCTTCCTTGTCTCTTGCTAGTTACAAGGACGTCAATTGTTGCCGTCAGTTAACCCGTGAGACTGGTTTTAACCCTTTGGGGATAACTTAGGGTTGGTGTCTCTCGTTTAGTATCGTGTGAGACTTTTTTTTTTAATACAACAGAAATTAATTAGCCTCTTGGGTATATCCTTCCTGCGGTTTCTCATATGATCTGTAAATCTATTGATGTATTCAGTGAATTGTTGTATATTCGCGTTTTCATCAATTTAATTACTGATTTGTTCATTCGATTAATCTGTTGGGGTATGTTGGATGGTATATGTTGGTTGGTTTATATGTTTCACATGTTGCCTAATACACTTGACATGAGAGCCTCGTGCATTTTTATGAAGCGTTGATACCCAAGAAGGCAAAGATGAGGTGGTGTGTGGAGGTGAGTCTCCGCCTCCTGGGTCACTGACGACTTTATCATCCCGGTGACAAGGTTGTACATATGCCTTAATGTGCCTTAAACAACTGTTATACTACATACACATATTAAAGTGCTTCCACGGAATACCTCCAAGACTCCTAATATACTAAATTATTTCCTGGGAGTATACATATATATAATAATGAAAATGTATAACCACGAAGGGAAAATAAAACAAGAAATTACTTGAACGCTTTCCTGTTAATAAATACGACTTCAAAAATATAATCAATCGAATACAATACTTGAATATATTGGCGGGAAAAACTAATGGTGACGTTTGAGGCGTAAAAACAATGTCTTCGTAATATTGGTTCATGAACATACGAACAAGAGACGTCTTAATGACCAATATCTGAGAGTTCCTGGCTTGGGATAGTTGTCTATTAATTACCTCCAAGGAGATATTACGTCCAGGATCTCACATGTATTGGTCATTAGGCCGTATGTAGTATCCTCTTGTTCTTATGTTCATGAATCAATATCATAAAGACATGGTTTTTTCACATCACACGTCATCTTTTTTTCTCCCTATATATTCAAGTATTATATTAGATTGATTTACGGGCTATTCATGCCTGTGCCACCTTTTGGGTGGCTTAATCTTCATCAATCACTCTGGATTGATTATACTTTTGAAGATGTGTTGATTAAGACGAAAGCGCTCAATTATGTCTTTTAATTTCCCCTTCGTAATTATACGTTTTCACATTATTCATTACGTGTTAATTTCTTTATGACTTACACACTCAGGGTCTCGCAGCCGAGTGCACAACGTTCAGGGGTCGCAATCTTAAGGGTCCTGGGTTCGATTCCCGGTCGAGGCAGAAACAGATAAGCAGAGGTTTTCACCTGATGCCCCCTGTTCACTGAGTAATTCAAGGATACGTGGGAGTTAGCTGCTACGGGCTGCAACCTGGAATTGTGTGTACTCACCTAGTTGTGTTTGCGGGGGTTGAGCTCTGGCTCTTTGGTCCCGCCTCTCAACCGTCAATCAACAGGTGTACAGATTCATGAGCCTATCGGGCTCTGTCATAATGTGTTATGTGTGTGTGTGTGTGTGTGTGTGTGTGTGTGTGTGTGTGTGTGTGTGTTAAAAATATATGTATGAAGGAAAAAGAGGTCGAGAGTCAATACATTATACAACTGACGGTTAGAAAGGTGGGGGTTCAAGAGCTAACAGCTCGATCCTGCAGGCATAAATAGTAAACACACACACACACACACATTGTACTCACAACTAGGTGAGTACATGTTTATTGAGGCTTGGTGTATGTTGTGTGAGCTCCAGTATTCCCGAGTCCTTACACCACTTTGTTCACTGTTAAATTCTGCTTTTAACATTATTTTTTTAACGGTGGAAGAATTGTAAGTCTTAATGATAATGTTCAGGTTGTTGGACTGGTCTTGTTTAATGACAGTATTGGACTGGTACTAGTTAGTGACAGTGTTGGACCTTGTCCTGATTAGTGACAGTGTTGGACCTTGTCCTGATTAGTAACAGTGTTGGACCTTGTCCTGATTAGTGACAGTTTTGGACCTTGTCCTGATTAGTGACAGTGTTGGACCTTGTCCTGATTAGTGACAGTTTTGGACCTCGTCCTGATTAGTGACAGTGTTGGACCTTGTCCTGATTAGTGACAGTTTTGGACCTTGTCCTGATTAGTAACAGTGTTGGACCTTGCAGTGACAGTGTTAGATTGGTCCTGTTTTGTGACTGTGATGACTTCGAACTATTGACATTCCCCAAGATGCAACGTCCACAACTCCCCGGTTACCTATTTACTGCTTGGTGAACAGTGGCATCAGATGACAGGAAACATACTCAATTGTTTCTATCTCGCCCGGGGATTGAACACGTGTCACAAGATTGGGAGTTGAGGATGTAGACCACCGAGACTTGTTTCTTAACTAGTATTCGTCAAACATTTACACAACCATTTACGAAATCTGTACATCTTTAATTGATCAATCCAGCGTTGTTTTAATTCATTTAGCAGATTACGAGTTTAGAGACTAAACGACCCAAGTTTAATATTGTT